TCATAAAAGATAATTCAAAGCACCCAAGTATGTCGCCATCCAACATTTGTTTAAATTAACAAATTACTCCCTACCACCAATAATGGACCTACGGGTGGGCAATCGGTTGGTCCACACCGGACTATACCGGACCGAATTGATATTTGAATCGGATCACACCGAACCGAATATAATATGGTCCGATCCTTGATCTCATGATTTTTGTAAATAATGAAGAAAAATGGAAGGAATTTACATTTGGACCAGACCAAAGCACACCAAACGGACCAAATGCACTATTGTTCCGGTCCTTGGTCCTTATTTATCTTCCATTATTGGACCGTGATTCTATGAATTTAGTCCGATTTGGTCCAGACCGATGCCCACCCTTAAATGGACGACGTAGTCCAATTTGGCAATTCTCTTGCATTACTTACTTCTACAGTTCTACCCCACGATGCATGGGAATATGGGATGATCCCATGTTGTGAGATATCAGCTTAATTCCACCCCAGTACCCCACGTTCCTCATAAGTGGGGCCACTAATCACCCCACTTTTGCAATTAAATCATCCGCCTATTTAAGTGCTTCCAAATCCGATAAACACCTGACGTCTCACCACAATATCAATTTGATCTTCACTTTTGTGCAGCCATGGTGTTCCGCAGACTTAGGGAGCTTAGTGTATCATATGCACAGCTATTTTGTGTTCGGGTTAGGGTGATTCGAATATGGGCAACAATCATTGCTGGTCTTGAAGGGATTCAGTACCTCAACATGCTGCTGCTGGATGATGAGGTTAGCAAACACATCTTATGCCCGTTAAGTTTTCTGAACCTTACGTTGACAAGCTCATGATTTATAAGACTATACATGCACTTTAAAAATTCCATGCTGTAACTTACATTCCAGTTTGTCGTTGTTATGCATCTTAGTTGAGAAAATGATTTCTGCGACCTCCATACTTGGTCCTGTGAACAGAATATATAAAAAGTCAGCAGAGAGTTCTGATACATTTAGTTTGGCATACATAACAGCAGATTCTTTAGTTGACACATAGCCACAGCCATCAAAGTACATGCATTCACATAGTTAAAGAAGAAAACTAGATTTGACCCATGTACTGGTGAATTTAATGATTGCAATGATGGATGCATGGATCAGTGTTTTTAACGGCAATAAAACATTCAATTTTTGGAGTGAAATTAAGGTGACAAATCTAAACTTTAGGCCCTAGACCAGCTTCTTAAATTAATGTTTCATGCACCTTAACTTTATTCACCTATACACCAAGTCATTCCAAATTGAAAACACGAGTAGCTATACCCAAATTCCAACCATAACCTCTAAACATCATCACCTGAACCGAATGAAACACAAACCAGTACCCAAATTCATGATTTGGTTGTTTTTTTTTATCATAGGGAACAGAGATGGAAGCTGTCATTCATCGTGCAGAAGTCCCCAAGTTCAAAGATGTTGTGCACGAGGGAGGGATATATGCATTAGGAAAGTTTGAGGTTCAACCATTAAATGTACTCTATAGAATTGCTGTTACACCTCTGCGAATCGCTTTCAACACTAACACGTCTATTCAAGCGATGCCGAATACAACAGACATACCTGATTTTTTCTTCCGGTTCCTGTCTTGGAATGAAATTCCTAATGCACATGCAAATCAAAAATATATGTCTGGTAAGATCGAACCAAATTAGTATTACACTTCTTTTGCATAGCTTTTGGGTATGCAATTAAACAATGTTTTTTTTTTGTTAACAGATATTGTTGGACACATTGTTGCTGCTCAACCAACTGAGGGGCTCTTTGAGGGCCTTTTAACTGTGAGGAAAAAACGTGTTTTCACAAGGCTTTTTCAGTAAGTAAATTTGTTATTAATTTTAGTCTTTCAGTTCTGTATGACAAGGTCAGTGTTTCTGTCCAACTTAATGATCCCACCTGTTTACTTTAGGGGAGTCACTTTTGAAGTCATCCTCTTTGATTCCCTAATTGATGCATTTGAAACTACAATTCCTAATCAGCCACAAGTAGAAACGTTGGCAGCATTCACTTCTGTCTATGTCTACAAGAATTATATTGGTACTACCACTTCTCTTGCAACTTACCTGTTATACCACTTGATTTCAAGTGCACCACCTGCACATCTGATTTTGTATTCGATGCTTTTAGGTGAATACTATTTTGCATGCTCCCGTGCAAGCAAAGTGTACTTCAACTTACCTCAAACTCAGTTTAACCCTCAACCAGTTCGGTTAGTCAATCACTCTTATTCTAGACAATATCGATTTCTGGTGCAAAGATCTCTTACTGACTGACTTATATTTTCACTAGGGTTAGAGCTGCTGCTACTCAGGAGGTTGCAGACTACACATTGGAGGAAGCAATATCCGTAGGCCAAATATGTTCTGTACAAGAACTGATCCAGACTCAGGCTGATGTGAGCAACAAATTCAGAACAATAGTTTTGGTTCAATTAAATATGTTTACCCTGCTACCAGTGTACTAACAGGCCAAGTATTTTCAATACAGGAATCGGCATATGTTGTTCGTGCTGAACTGAAAGAAGTTGATGTGTTTTGGTCAAGCGATATGGAAAAGTATATCGTGCGTTTGCGTATTACTGATGGATCAGCTGAAACGACCGCCATATTTCTCTCCTCTGACTTCAGAAGAATATGCGGTCGTATGATTAAGGAAAATGATTTGTTGTGGGCTGCTAACTTTGAGGACCACTTATATTCTATTTCTGGAAAAGTCCTCACCCTAATGATCAAACGCATGAGGCGTAATGCTCTGACAAACCAAGTTGATTTGGTTGTTCAAAAGTTGTTTTGGTAGACCTGGGTACTTAGGTTCAAGGCGTCCTTTAGCTTCATGACTTATTTACTAGACTATTTGGTTATGTGTTGGTAGTCTCTGTTCATTACTACCCATTTTAATTGTAGTGTGTTTGGTTTAGGCAACTTTGGACAATTCTGTTGCCGTTGGTTTATTGTTTTATCAATTTCTACTATGATTTCATTCAGCTTTGGTTTCATGTTAAAGTAGACAGCATGAAAGACAGTACAAGTGATCACAACTTTATGTTCAGATATTGGATACTTATACAAAATTTCTAATATATCGGACAGACCAAATTATCCACTAACCTGAAAGATGAAGAACGGCTTAGCAAACCTCCCTTTGGTATGAAAACGAGCACGAGGGGGCCCTTCAACATCATATTGAACATGGAGGATCTGTCATCGTCGCTACCTTCATAGGTTATAATTTCTGCAGTAATAATGACAAAACTGAAAGTCATGTCCTCCAAAACCTTCTTAAAAGATTTAAACATAAACACAACGCAAACGAAGCTATAGCTCTTTGTTCATAGCCAAGTCTGCCATATCAAAGTTCATTCATGAATTTTAAAAACAAAACCAATTTCAGAGGTCAAGATTCCTATATCTCCTTCCACGTTCTTAGCTGAGTTTTCCACCCACCGCAACCTTAACCCCTGTTTAGAGCGTCACATCCAAGACTGAACCAACCAATTGCTCATAATTATGTTTGACATGAACCTTTGGCAAAACCACTCACCAGTATCCCACTCAACCAATTTCGATGGCTTACCACAACTAATACAATTACCCATTTCACAAATACAAAATCCTCAAACCAACAACCTGTACAAAGAATCACCTATAATGGTTTCCTTCCCCATACTTCATTTCCGCGAGCTTGAACAACAAACAACATGGTAGAAGAAGAGATCATCCAAAAGCTCTAACCTGGCTGTTTGACGACCTTAAAGCCCAGACCCATCAGTGCATGTCTCAAAATCTACATCGCATTGCCAGGTGATGGGTGCGTCCCCCTTCTGGTGTGGTCGAAATAAACTCAGACGCCCGTTCTCTCAGGCACACATCGATTCGATTAGGCTGTTTCATTCGAGACTGGAACCGGGATTGTGACGGATCAGTGGCAAGAACGGAAAAGAGATTTGTAAGGTGATTGAGGAGGAAGCCAGAGACATTTACATGGACTTTGCGAGGCGAATAGATGATCTGGGAGGGAATGGTCGTTCAGTATGATTGTCAATGTTTAATGCTTCAATTGCAGCACCAGGAGGATTGGAGGAAGACAAGACGGAGCTGGGTGATGCTTCTAGACTATGAGGCAACTGGCATATGTTAATTTTTTTTTTTTATGGGAGCAGATTTTTTTTTTTTTTTTTTGAAGCAGATGTTAAATTTACAGATCTCAGGACAATGAGGAGTCTGTTTTCGTTTGGCCACTTTTCTATTTTTTTTATTTTGCCATAATACTTGGCCCACTTTTAGGCCCATCATTCTTTGCAAAATGCAATTTTCCTTTGACGTTTAAATGAATATAATGCACAGGCCTTTCCATTAAGAAACATTTATTTGGGTCAATGGACTTTATCTCATTTGGCCCACTCGCTAGACAAATGGATCCCACCAGTTCAAGTCTGTGGGCCTGGAAAAAATTGTCGATAATCTTACCAATTAACCCTGGCGGCTCCAAACTAAATGTCAACAAGATTACGTTTTTCCTCGCCGTCTAACCCTAAATAACAAAATTATCATCTTTTCGCATCTGATTCCATCCTACGATCAGAAATAGCCCACTTCAGATTTCTATCGTCTCAACTTCTCCTCCATTCCGAAAAACATTGCGATAACCTCATCCCAATCGCACGTGCCACTGACGGTTTTGGTTAAATAAATTATTCCTTATTCGATTCCACGTCAGTAAGGCGGTGCGATAGCAGTTATCAAGCGATCGCCCTGGAGAACCAACTCACTATAAATACCAACCCTTCGTCTACTCCAATAAGCGGTTTCTTCTTCTTCAACTTGGTAGCCTGGTACGTTTTCTTTTATCCATCTGATGAATTGATTGGTGAATTTACAAGAACCTTTTTTTACTGCTCATTTTTTCCCCTTCCTTTGTATGCTCTAGAACGACTCCCACGTGTAGTGCTAATCACCAGAGAATGCAATCCAATTTGATTTCTGAGTTGTCGGCTGAAACGCCGGGGCTGGTTCTTCACGGCCGTATCTGTAGAAAATGGAAACCCCGAAACCCCAACACGGATAGGGTTCTGCGCCTCGATATGATCTGCCTAGACAGAAAGGTAACTATCGAATTCTTTCTTCGCACAATTCCACGAGCGGCCTGAATCTTATATGGAATTTGAAATGGAATCCAGGGAGATGCTGTTTGGATTCAAGTGCCAAAATCTTGCATGGACAGATTTGACCAACGCGTGGAAGAACAAAACACATACCGCATTGCCAACTTCAAGGTGGTTGCGGAGACCAAAGGCTATCGTCCTGTTCCCAATGGTTTATTCGTGGAATTGGAATCAACGTCCACCATTGAACCAACTCCTGATCATGTCCCTCCGTTCCCAACCCAATGCTTCAGATTTCTGAAGCACGAAGACATGTTCCCGAACCGTGATCAACGAACCATTTTGCTAGGTGAGTACCGATTCACTGTAATTATGAGTACCCTTACCACCCCGATTGTTGCTTGACTTTGTCGCCTACTCATATTCAATTGGGACAGATGTTGTAGGACAGCTTCTGGAGTTCTCGAAAACCAAGTCATCTACTTCAATAAACCGGAATTCCAAGAGAAAGGAAATCAAGATCATGTTGCCAGAGTATGCTTCTCGCCCTCTTATAAGTTCATTGTTTGCTTGCTTTACCGAGATGGTTTTTGTCTGAATCCATGCCTTCACTGTTGTCATTTGAAAGGGGAATTCCCGTAAAAGTGGTCTTATGGGGAAGATTGGGTCTTCAATTAGAACAGATAATTGATGCTGCCACGAATCCGAAAATCATTCTGATCATATCATCTGTGATGGTGTCTGAGTTTAATGGTATGTCACTCTTTTTTACATTGTCCTGCATGCATTGCTACCTATCCCAAAGTTTTGCACCCACCGTATAATTTATTTGTTCTATTAATTGACTAGGGGAACTGAAACTATCATCATCTAGCGCATCAGTAATGTATGACAACTTAGATGTACATGAAGTGAACACACTTCGAGACAGGTAGTAATCCATTTTTGTTCACCCTGCTTCAAACAACTCCCACACCAAAGTTTTATTCAAATCAATTATTCTAACTGTAATACTTTTTTTGAAAGCAATGATGCGTTGGATGCTCCAAGATTGCATGAAGAAAAAGGTCCAGAGGTTATTGGTCCTCTTTCCATTCAAGAGTTAAAGAATTTTACCAGTGATGCTGCTAATCTGGTATGGTCATCTCATCCAAGTCATATACTATATCTATAATTTGTAATTGACTCTAAGTAAATTGTTGGTTGAAAAAGGGTCCTACTTATTCCACCTGATAATTGCATGGGTTGAACCTGTTCACTCTGTTGTTTTAGACTAGACCTGCAAAATTAGTAAGAATCGTTTTTCAATTACTAAGAATCACCTACGTCATTTAATTTGAAGCTGGGTTCTATTATGAATCGGATCTTTTAACTAAGATAATAGTAATCCCGAAAACAATATTGTTACTTCTTAGCGTATAGGTTTAACATGTTATCCCCATTGGCATTTTAATTTGGAGTATATATTTGTGATTCCGATTCAAGCAGGAACTGTACGCCCTCTCTAATGGTTTGATGCAGCTTCTAATTGATCCCTTTTCACCAATAAAACTAGGATAGGTCTTAATGTTTACGAACACAAATTATGTTGCCTAAGACTTAACCACTTGCCCATTCTTTAATGAGATTGAAAGCATTTCTCTATAATATTTAAATTTGTAGATATTATTGGATCATACCTGTTTATCTTAATCGAATTTCCGCGATTTACCTTTTAGGCGTCGCTGCCACATTAGTCTTTCGTTACAGGATTGATTAAATATTGTCTGAACTGTGCTTGCCTGTAGTTTTTATCAATCGTGTGTGTCGGGGTGAGATTGAACCAAGTTTTTACAGCTCAATTATTAACTTCTACTTTTACTGTAGATTATCAATCCAGTGTGTTGGGATCATATTGAACCAAATTTTTAGACCCTTCGAGCAACATGGGACTAAATTTACTATAAAGCACCCAATTGTTATTTGGATTTCTGTTTTTCAAACACATTTTAGCTGTGTATTCAACATTTTTATATCACTTTAGCAAATGAATTTGAGTGTCATTTATACTACTGAATCCTCTTAACATGATGTTTTGTTGCCGTTCGGCACAACATTACAATTTCTCCTGTACAGTACCGCTCATACCTAAGCTTCTTTCCTGGTTTGCAGAACAAAATCGTCTCTGTAACTTGCAAAGTTGACAAAGTGTTGAATGATTGGTTTTATGATGGTTGCACCAAATGCCCATGCAAAGTACAAGCTGAAGCGGATAAGTTTTATTGTAACAAATGTCAGACCACAAGTAGAAACAGTGTGAAAAGGTTATTTAATTTGCTCCCTGTTGTTCATTTTCCCGTCATCGAATCCAATTATGACACACTTTAACTCCTGTCTGAACAACCATCCTACTTAATGTACTTCATTCAAATTTCTGCAGGTTTCGAGTTCAAGTTTCTGTGAATGATCCAACGGGGGAGGCTGTCTTTGTACTCTTTGATGGTGAAGGGAAGAAGTTTTTTGGAATTTCAGCACAGGCTTTGTACGCTGATAAGGAAAACGAGCCAAGTGATGTGCCCGCTGCACTACTAACAATTGAACACATGGAAGTTGAGTTCCATATAAAAGTTAAGGAGTTCAATGTAAAGAAATCTTCACATGAATTCACTGTTTGGAAGATCAATGAGGCTAAGGAATCTGTGAACTCAACCACCAAAATTTCTGAGCCAATTCAGGTTGACTCCTTATAACATACAACCATGTGCTTGGTTCTTCTTATCATTTTTAACCTGTTGCATTTAAATATTTAGTATGCCATGTGTACGATTATACCCATGTTCCTTTATTTAACAAATCATGTGCACCCCTACTATATAAGTAACTGCATAGAATATATGAAATAAGAAACCTCTCCTTTCATTTTTCAGGAGAACACGTTGTCTTCACAGCAAGGGGGTGGCTCCACCCATTCTATTAGTACCAGCACTGTTGTTGATATTGAAGATGAAGATTTCGATACTACCAACCGCTCGAACCCGGAACTCCGTCATAATGCAAATGCGAGTGCTACACCTTCAACCAACAATCTAAAGAGGAAGCAACGTGCCGACTCGGGAAGTGATGATAGTGATGTTTAGGCAAATGTTTTCATGTTTGTTAACGACAGTTTGTTTATAGCTGCTGAAGGATTTATGGACTGTGAATTGTTTTCCTTCTGTTGCACCCTCTTTTCCCCTCTTAATATCTCTGTTAGTTTGGGAACAATTAAGTAGAAGGTAATCAAGTAGCGTTGTGGTTTTTCGTTTGGGACAATGAATTCATTATCTCCTTTAACTTTAATGACTTCTTCGAATGTTGATTCCCATAATCATTTCAAACTCTAAATTAACGTAGTTTACATTTCACCACATGCAAAACTTATTGCCAAAAGAATGGCATGTAAAACAACTACTCCCTGCTTATTAATACACTAATTACTCTAAAAGGGCCCAACCCAGTTCCTAGGAAAACAAAGAAGGCCATTCTTCTGGGCCATTATTGAGTCCACAAATCCCATAAACTAGATTCCGAAAATCACACCTCACATATATAATTCTTAACCAAAAAATCACACCTCACCGCCACTCCACCACCCACGTAGCACTCCACCACCCACCACCCACGTCCTTCTTCTTATAAAGCCAGTTATTCCCGTCACCATACTTCTCATATTCCAACTATTTTTCATTCATACCCTAGAGATCTCATTATCCCAATCCAGCCTTCACTCTCACGCACTCAGAAAATGCCTGTTTACCCAATCGCACGCTTGACTCTTCATGGCAATCCGTGGCCTATCCGAGTTAGGCTGTTGAGGTTATGGGTCAAATTGGCTGCAAATGGCGATGCCATTCAACACGTCATGCTTTTGTTCCTTGACAAATTGGTAAGTATTTCTTGCTATTCACTATCTTAATAACAATGTCCTCCCACTGAATTATGTTCTGTGTTATTCTATATAGGGCGTACAGATTCAAGCTGTCATCCGTCGCTGTCATGTACACACATTTCTGCCGACATTTTGTCCAGGCGGGATATATAGAATCACCGATTTTGACGTTGAAGAAAGCTTCTCCTCCCAACGGGTTGCTGTAAATGATTTGATGATTTCGTTTCGTGGAAATACGTTGGTTGAACAGCTCGAAGAGTCATTGGATATCCCCCATTTCAGCTTTCGATTTTTGTCCTCCTGGGACTTCCCTCTTGCTGTGGCCAACCCATTATACCTCCCAGGTACCGCCTGCCTTTGCTTCTTTTTAGTTGTAGACAAATGTTTTACGTTCAATCGTCACAAGAACACTATATGACTCATGCTTCCATAATTATTTAGATTTGGTAGGTGTTGTAGTGAGCTGTGCGCCAATTATGTTGCCATACCCCACTGTTCCCACTCTTCGCAACAAACGAATCTTGCTCCGATTGCTTGAGTTAGTATGGATTCATATTTTAAAATTTTCCCTTCATTTACAATTATCCATATTTATTAACAATATTCACGTCATGTAGGGGAAACATAATTGAAATATTATTATGGGAATCTTTTATCCCAATGTTTGAAGCTCTTACAACCGATGATGCAGCAGTTGGTCAGGTTGTTGTTTTCACGTCTTTATTTATCCACAACAACGAAGGTACAAATCCTAAGGTCTCTTTTATTTACTTTTTATGTCTACATTTTTGCATGGTTGTTATTTTTTTTTTCATTGGATGACACTATATAGACTTTTTTTTTATTATCGATCAACTGCCTGCCATTATTTTTTGAATGTTACATGTTCCTTAGGAAATTATTTCTTTCATGCCTCTCGAGCGACAAAGATTTATGTCAATCTTCATTGTCCCCGCGAGCACCCATTGTTAAATCAGTGAGTGTTTTTTATGCAATATATTGTTTGGGGATGAGAATTTATCCTAATATTATTAGTATTAAGATTACAAAAATTCACCATATTAGGCAACTAGATGACTCCATGGCCGCACGACTGGCATATGTGGATGCCATCTCAAGATCTCAATATTCTTCAGTTCATGAACTCAACTCTGTTAAACGCGTCCAAGAGAATATGGTAAAATGAACCTCTACCTCTTAACATTGCTACCATTGTTATGATGATTTTTCCCATTCTCTTTTGATTTTGGGATTGACGAATTGACTCCTGATTTTGATTTGTGTAGGAAAACAATTACATATTTCGTGGTGAAGTGAAAGAAATAGCCATTTCCTGGGTTGACGCTTTTTGCGTATATATGGTCCACCTAACAATCGCAAATGGAGGAACAATAATTGAAGTCGTGTTTCCGTCATCTACGTTTAGAAGAATAGCTACCAATATTGTGGACATTGTTGACACTGCTTGGGGGGACTACTACTTCAACATTTTGGCTTCTCTACATGGAAATTCATACGAGTTTATGGTCAAAGTGGGAATGTGGAACAATTCCACCAATGAGTGTGATATGCTCTTGCAAAAAATATTTCCTCTTTAGGTCTACTTTCTTTTATTTAGCTTATATAATTGTGCATGGACTTAGACTTATTGTTTGAACTCTGTCCTTTCTGTTAAGTCCATGAACACAGGTCTCTTGGTTATGTAGCTTATTGCGAAACTAATTCATTTATTTCATCCTACTTAGTGCACTTTTTTTCACACCCGCCAAGTCTTTTACATTATACCTACCTAGGCCATGTGGAACGAAAAATCTTTCCTTTCAACCGAATGATCACCAAATCCGTTTATTTAAATGTACCACTCTACTGGTATGAACTAATATAAATACATGAAGCACAAAGGTTGATAGATCAACTACTATATTTAGACATAGATTTACGCTGAAAATTATCCATACAACCCAACCTGACTTCCTGGATCCTTTCCGGCCAACGGGCCGGGCTTACAACTAGTAATATAATACGCCGAAAGGAAAAACGGGAGCTCCATTTCAAATTTCCTGCAACGAGAGTGAAAGTAGGAAGGACATTTTGGTCTTCACAATTGCTTTTTTTTATTCATTAAAAAGACACGTACTGGGATTCGAACCATGACCATTTTAAAGAAAAGCAAGGATAATAACCAATCACACTAAGCACATTTGTTGTATCTTTTTAAATTAAAAACATATAATAGCAGGGAGAAAATAACCCTTCCCCCATTTCAAATTCCCTGCTCCATGAGTGTTTGTAGGAAGGGTAGAATAGGAAGTGTCAATTTTTTTCTCTTTCCTCTGTGGAACGGGCCAACTTACCGTACACATGCGAATTTAAACGGGTCCAGGAGTGTCAATTTTTTTTCTTTAAACCCTTTTATTTCTCCGTGGTGATAAAATATATATGAAAAGGAAAAACTAATACTCCTTTTTATTGTTAAAAATAAAAAATTTAACAATAAACTAATGCATGGTATCTAATGGGCTAACCGCTAACCATAAAATAAAAGAGTTGAATGGGCCTGACCTACATGGGATTTGGCCATCAAGTAAAACAAATGAACATCATTGGTTTGTCATTCTAAAACAAGCTATTTTCTATTATGCTATTATTTTATATCTTAGTGGCTAAAATATAATGTATTTTAGAGTTATTCAATGGTTCAACCTCGACCAACACAATTAGTCCAATTTTTATCATTTCAAATATATATTTTATAATTATTTGATATCACAATGATCAAATTATAGTGTATTTTATAGGGAATCGTTTGGTATTTGTTAGTAAAAAACTAAACATAACGATCTATTTGGTTATTTTAAACATTATAACGATCCTAAACATTTTCAGTTCCTTTTGAATTTCCATGGTTTTAATCTCGATTAAGTGATGTGCAAATGGCGAATTGTAGTCGTCTCTTTTCTTTCACTATTTTTTTTATTTTCAAATAGAAAGTTTAAAAGTAAAGAATAATTAGAATTTGGCATGGGTCGATCGAACAGGCTGAATTTCAAGTTTTGGCCCGTTTGTTTTATGCATTGCAAATTTATTAGCATGTTGATGGAAATGGCTTGGAAAAAAGACATATAAGTTGTACCTTTGCAGAAATGTCCTCAAATGTTTGAATGCTTTGTGAATCAGGTTCCGTGACTTTTGTGATGGTGTATGTGCTTGACGATTGCTCTTTTGATTTTCCCTATGAGTTGTGATACCAGTTCTGGTGGTTGCAGCATGTTGTCGTTGTTGGCCTGTAAAAGTTGTTCCACCGTGGTGCTAAATACCTTTCTTTCTTTTTTAACAAATTGTGTGGTAGTGCTATGAAACAGACCACCCATGAATGTTACGCTTATTAAGGTCTGTTCTTACTTCCGGTGGTGAGAAATTGTGAATTGAGAATCATATTCGCCTACCGCACTGTGTCTGGCTGGTGGCTGCTTACTGTGCTCTCTAGAGTTATGAAACAGACTACCCATGAACGTTACCCTTAAGAGTCCATAACTTTGCGAAAAACCAAATTTAGGCAATCAAAGGTGGTGGATGTATGATATTTTTTATGGCTTAATTGTTTGTGAATTGGATATATGACCTTTAGTAACTCAAAACCTTCGAGACACATATCACCTACTGCATTGTATCATTTTGCCTGGGTGCTTGCTGTGTTGTCAAACTTCTTTGCCGCTGCTGCTGCTTTTACACTAACAGGGGAGTTAAGAACCCATGAATGTTTCCGTTTGACACAAACAGGAGGACTTGCTTCTAAATCGTGCAGTTGATATACTGGAGACCAGAACAAAAGCAATGTATAACATCAAAACCAACCATCTGAACTATTAGCATTGTTGCTTTACTCTTTTTTCGTGGTTAGGTCTCCTTCAAAAAATTTAGTTTGATATTAGAAAATTTTGCTTCTGCAGTCCTGTCTTGCCACCAACGCGTTCAGTAGATGGAGATGGCAGAGGCGAAGGCTATTTTTGTGTTGTTGTTGCTGGTTTAGGGATCGGTTTGTGAAGAAGAGGGAGAAGAGAGGGGGAAAGGGAAATGCAGGAGAGGGGGTTAACTCTTTTCTCTGACAAAAATGGAGTGAAGAAAGAAATTATGATCAGTAAGGATATGGTTATCTTACATAACTGTCTCTATTCTGTTGGAATTGAGCTTGGGAGGCAGTGATAAGGACGAGCTGCAACCAATTCATAGTGAGAAGAGAGCTATGAACTGTGATCATGTCCTATTTCAAGTTAGAAGGTAGTTTTGAGTATAAGGATTATTTAATTTGACAAGTTGTTTCGTCCATGATTCTTGGTAGTTTCAGTGCCATTCTAGCCATTGTTTAGTCTGTAATTTTTGAGAATTGATTTGCGAGTAATGACTTTCACTTAGCTTCACTATTATGCGTGTATTTATTGGCTTGTGATAGAATTCTCTTTTCCTTTCTTTGAATTCAGTTTCATACTCTAATTGTATCATTTATACATAGTCAAATCATGCTCGAGATGACAACTCGCCGATATGGCTGGTGCAAGGAACGAAGCCATCATTAGAATTCAGATCGACAACGGGGAGGGATGCCCAGGACTGATTCAATGATGATTGATGATGGTATAATAAAAACTGCAGTCTGCATCAGCACCAATTTCTAGGCCTAAGTAAAGTTATTCAACCAGAACTCTGCTTAGCGCTAAAAATTCCCCTCACCCAACCTTGATCCTGTTTGACCCACTTATGAAGATTCAAGATATATGGCTAATCCTCTCCGTTCGTATTTTCTTATTGACTCTTTCTGACCCTTTAGGTTGGGGCGGGTCGGGAAGAATCGGATTAGTGGGTCGGTCCTAAGCAAGTGGAATCCCAATTCCTTCTACTCTCACTTGCTTTTTCTCCTATTCCACAAGTGGGTAACATACACTAATCCGGCCAACGGGCCGGGTAATAGGCTAGTAGGGATTGTAGGGATGTCGGCTGTGTGTTTGTTGATTTTTGTTCGGTTTAGTAAGGTTAATTAAGTAATTTTATATTTTAAGTTAGGGCGATAAAAGAAAAATTAGGGCGACGTTTAACCATTCAGTAAAGTATTTGACGGAAGTGGCTATATCTGGTATTTCTCCAAAAGTGGCTATTATTGTTATAAGCGCCAAAATTATGGTTATGGAAGTATATTTTTCCTTGATTCAATTCAATATAGTTTCAACTCGACTCGTACATCCCGGTACTTATAGCCTGTTTGGATACAATTTCGTAAGGAATTTAAAACCGAATATTCGTTTTCGTATCTCAAATCCACACCTTTTCCCTTACCTTTCTTATTTTGGAATCTCCGAAAGTTATAATCACACCACTACTTTGGCCTATTTGATCAAATCAAAAGTTTAAAGTCATAGGTGCTTCTGAGTTCTGCCTATGAAAATAAAATCAAAAAATTATTTAGTTTTTATTTTTTAACGTGGCCGAGTTGGGCCGGCCTGATTGCAACTCCTTTGGCAAATCCCGGCCCATCTCGCGTCTTGCGAACCATATAAGAGTTGAAACTGAATCCGACCGGGCGGTCCAAGTCTTTCTCAACTGTCAAGCTCAAGACTCGAGAAAGTGAAAGCAGTAGCTATGGCTTCTTCGTCGCCGTCTCCACCTCCTAAAATCCTCCTAGCTAAGCCTTCTGCAATCGCCACCGCTGGTCCCGTCCTCGGAAATTTCGGCCGCCAAACTCCCGCTGCCGATGAAGAACCTATTCCGCATCCTCGCTCACGTTTACCTGCTCTCAATCTACTTTCCGATTCATGGGACTTTCACTTCGAGCGATTCCTCCCTGTAACTATCTGACCGCCACTTCACCCTTCTTTGCGTTACTGTCTCCTTTTCCCCCCTATAATAATTTCTAACCCTAAATGACTGATTTGTTTCTGGGTTTGTTGCTTTTAAATGAGCAGTTCCTGACGGAGAACACTGATTTCACAGTGGTTGGAGTGATTGGACCCCATGGTGTTGGGAAATCGACCATTATGAACGAGCTTTATGGCTTCGATGGAACTTCACCCGGTGAGTCGTTTTTAGCCGAAAATGAATTCCAGTTGAATCAGATCAGCAGTTCTGTGGCTTATGGCGTTTTGGGTTTAGGACTTTAGGCTGATTGCTTTACAACTTACATTTCCGATGCGGCTGAGAATTATGACGCCACTCAGTTAGCTTTTATCTTCGCGACTAGCGCTCTTTGATTCTGAAAGGTAACCTTTGGTTTGATGGAATGTATGTAGGAATGCTGCCACCATTCAATGTACAATCAGAGGAAAATAGAGTAACGGCAAGGCATTGTACTGTAGGAATTGAACCCAGGATATCTTCTGAGCGGCTTATACTTCTTGATACACAGGTTTGTTGTTCTCCTTCCATTTCCTGTCTGTCTCCGCGTTTTTGCTTGCTTTCTTTAAAATTTTAGTTTACTTCCACTATCTCATCTCATGCAGCCTGTATTTAGTCCATCTATCTTAGCTGAGATGATGAGACCAGATGGTTCGTCCACGATGCCCGTTTTATATGGTGGTGAGAATCTCTCTGCCGAGTTGGCACATGAAGTTATGTGCATCCAGGTAACAATAATGCCAATGTCCATCTTATTGAGTTTCTTTTATGACACTGGGGTCAGTGTATCTGAGTTTGTTACCTTCCTTATTTCGTTTGGCCGGTGCTGCAAGGAATCCTTCTAGCTTGGTGTGCTGCTGGCATCCATTTGTCATGTTGTCCTGGTGATATCGGATGGCACGAATGATGACAGTATGTGGCATTTGATGTCAACGGTACTACACCTTTACATCCTTTCTCTTCTAACTGTTATCTGTCGAACCATGTTGTAAAGTGGACTGCATTTAGTTCTATATTCTGAACTAAGACGCTAAAGCAATGAGGCACGCAAGTATCTTAGATGAAGTTCTATGGGAGTAAAGTAGAATTCAAGTTAGGATGACAAGAAGCTTTTGGTGAAAACGTTTCTATCTCTGATTATCGACTATGTGTTCTCCTCCCATATTCTGTTTCGTATTATTTGTTTACTCTGGGTGCCAATTGCACCATCTAATGTGAACATGCTTATAAGTTATCTCTGTTTTCAACAGGTGGACCTGTTGAAACATGGCATACCTGATCCATCTTCACTAATCTCCACGAGCAGTGTCTCGGGAACAGAAAGAGACAACAAAGACAAAAGCTTTGAGGAAAACTACATAGCTACTCCTGTGTTTGTGCACACAAAGTAGGTGCTATCTTATTACCTTGGCAGAGAATAAAAATAAGTATTAGATTAATCTGCTCAATCTTCGATAGAAGATTTTTACAACTGACTGCTGACTGACCTATCTGGCCATAGTTGTGTTCACTGAAACCATTGGCTAGTTGAGCATGATTTTAGCTACCTCCTGTTGCCAACACTTTAGATGATATTAATACAGACAAAGAAAAGAGATTACTTAGCCCCCCTCCCCCCACCCCCAAAGCTTGCAACCGAAAATCTTGTACCTTCTGTGCTTTGTATTTGTAGCCCCCACTATAGGTTCGGGATGTAATTTGCCAGTGACGAGAGCCAATTCTACTGGAAATCTTCTTATATAGGAAATAAATAAAGCTGAATTCCATTTCTTTTTCTCGTGTATTTTGCGTTATTTCGCATAACTCATCTTTCTGTTTTGCAGATTACAAGATGAAAATTGCACTCCACAGTATTACTCGCAACTGAGGGAGGCATTAACACGATATTTTGGATCCTCTTCATTCACAAATAAGAAATCTGGAAGCGTGCCAAAAGAGCAGACCTTCTCCAACACTTCAAATTCCAAGGATAGCAGCATGCTGCTAAATTTACATTTGATCCCTTCCAGGACCAAAAATGAATCTCCAAGAGCTCAGTATGAAAGTCACCTTTCTGTTCTATGGAAATTGCGAGATAAGGTCACTCTTTTTCTCTCTGTAATGAGTTGTATCTCTGTTTTCCTTCGGCCAACTACTGCAGAGCAATAAAGTACTGGATTCTGTATGCGTCAGGTGTTATCCATGAACTGTCCATCGTTTGCAAGGCCAGTCTCAGAGAGGGACTGGTTAAAGAATTCAGCAAAGATATGGGAGTTAGTGAAGAGTTCTGGTGTTATTACAGAGTACAGTCGAATGCTTCAAGGCTCAGGGATGTTCAGAAGTAGATGAACTGCAAACAGATTATGGTGGCTGATTGTAAAGCTTGCCAGACATTTGGTTGGATGTATTTCACAGATTGCACTGTAATCACATGTACTCGTTTATCGTCGACCTGATGTACTGTATTTAAAATGCACAGATGACGCTATATTAAATACAGAAGCTAGCAAGATATACTAAACCGATCACTAACCTATGTTAAAATTTCTTTTGATGCCTAGCAATCATTCTGGCGTTCGTGGTGCGATGTCAATGTGCAAGACTTCAGATTCCGATGCCAGCAAAGTAGCAGGAGCATGCCCTTTGTCTCTTCCTCTGCTTCTAACAAATATTCTTCTCTTCATTGCCCCGGCCCTCCTCTTCTCCTTCTGGAGGCGGTCACCATTCTTCTTCCTCAACTTTTCAAGCTTCTCTTTCCTGCCCTCCACATCAGCTTTGATGGCATTCTCTCTTTTCTCACCAGACAGCAGAGCCAACTTGGCGAATTTCTTGGGCCTCACAACCCCAAGTTTCTCGGTGATCTCCTTGAAAGCAGGAACCAGGCCGGACCTCATGAAGCAACCTTCAACGAGGCGCATCGAGTTGGAATCTGGGAGGGCTGGTGAGTTCTTCAGCTCTAGGTCGAGGCAAAATGGGGAGTCCTTCAACCACATTCTCAGGGAGTGAGCCTTGGCAACCAGAAGACCACTCCGTGTCTTGCAAGGAAGGAATGGCGACCCCATCTCCCACAAGTACGCCTTCACTGTGCTGCTGAGTGACACCATGTTGTACTCGGCTGTTCCGGTTATTAGTACCACTGATTTGGGAGACTCGGGGTAACCTTGCAGAGATGCGTCCTGCCGCCATTTATGCACAAGTGGAAGAATAAAAAGGTAAAAATTGTCAGGGACACACAATGAACGATCATCCAGTGTCATCTACTAAAAGCATTGGGATTGGATAACTACTTGCCTGCATATGATCCAGCCACAAGGTGAGACCAACTAGAGCTGCACCCCCTGATAACATCCGGAAATCAGCTCCCCAGTCTTTGTCAGCCACCCTGTCTCACATGGACCAAAAAAGAACGCAGAACAGACATGAAGCATTCATAAGAACCTACACCGGGGTCACATGAAAAAAAAACTCGCTTCTTCCATCTACATATTACATTACCAAGTTGAGAAAGTATCTGTTAGAGTCTGTACTGACCTGAACACATCATGGGGATAGATACCCCTCTTGACCGCCAACTGGAAAACCCACGACGCAGTGGCTCGAAGTTCAAATGCCCACAACAAATCCTCCAAAGCATTTACAAAGTTAAAGGCCGCATTATCTGCCATCGGTCCTAGCATCTCAAGACAATTGTCCACTGCTGGAACTAGTGATTCCGAATTTTCAGTCAGAAGCCTGCAATACGAATCAGAATCTCTTCAGGTACCGAGTATCATAGGACAGAGTATAGAACATTAAATGAGAATCTTCTTAGAACGTATAGCACTTTTATACCTGATTGGAAGATCAAACCCAGCAGCTCCCAGAGCATGTAAAAGCTTAATAGCTTCATTACTCTGCTGGGCCAGACTTGCACCCCTGATAAAGCATGTCCATATTCTATGATCTGCTTCAAAACCATCTTTCTTCATCTCCTCAAGTTTTTTTATCCCATCATTGTACTCTCCTTTCCTAAAATAAGCGTCGATGACAGAGGCGTATGGCAGTGTGCTGAGGTCCACACCTGTTTGTTTCAAATTGTCGAGAACTTTGTCAGCTTCCTGAGGATGGCCTGAACCGCTATATGACACCATAAGCAAGTGCATTGTAGCAACATTGGGTTCTATTCCAGCATCTTTCATAGTGCTCAACAGTGCCTCAGCTTTTCCATGGTTTCCTGAATTCCTATATATCTTCATGATTGAATGGTAGAAAAATCGATCAAGTTTATATCCTTTCGCCACTAAATCGCCGAATAGTCCCTCAGCTTGCTGTACCAATTGCATCCTACCAAACGCAGTGAGCAAACTTTTGTAGGTACCCAACCAAGGCTCCAGTCCTAACCCTATCATTTCACTTATCAACAATGAACCTTCCTCTGGCCGACATTCTCTGCAGTACATTACGACCAACGTGTTGTAAGTCTCCTCATCTGGATTAAATCCATCATTTTTAATCTGCTGATATATTTGAGTTGTCTTTCTGAAATCATTAGTTCCAGCATATAATTTGAGCATTGAATTCCATATCGAAAGATCAGGCTTGAAACCTGCTTCTTTCATTTCGGAAACCATAACTTCAGCATCCCTTACCCTTTTCCCTCGGCATAACAATTCAATCATCACCCTGTAAAGATGCATGCTAGGGAAATAACCAGCAGCCTTCATTCCTTGATATATTTTCTTCACTTCGAAAATGTTCCCACTCCTTGCAAATGCATCAATCATCAAAAGAATAGAGCTCTTGCTTATTTTGAAACCCATGTCTTGCATCTCCTGGATGACCACATAAAGCTCATCCAGTCTCTCATCAACAATCAGAGCCTGTAAAAGGCCATTAATGGAGTCAACCGTAGGAGAAGGGCCATCTCTCATCATTGTGTTGAAGACCGCCCTTGCTCGTTCGTAGCATCCACTTTCCGCGTAAGCAGCTATCAAGGAATTCCAGATCTTCCTGTCTAGAACTGCACTTGTTTGTCTTACATTCCCTACTAACCTTTCTGCTTTCTGCCAAAGCTTTGACTTACCGTAGGATTTTATAATTTCTACATAAATAGAGGTCTTGTGCAGCAGCAAACCTTTAATTTCTGCCAAATCGATCAAATGTTGTGCTGTCTCAGGGAAGCCCATTTTACAATACAAGAGTATCATACGTTCGAAGGTAGAGTCAGGGATAGTGCAACAGTTGGCTCTCATGTCAGAAAATATCTGACCGGCTTCACCAAATAGATTGTTTTCTTCACAGCATTCAATTAAGCACTCGAAAACCACAGAACTTACTGAAGGCCCTCCTCCAAACTGTTGCAAATCACTGTATTCCTTGAGAGCAGCTTCCATTTGCTTAGCCTTGCACAGCACGACAACGGAAGCTTCTGTTAATAATTGTTTGGACGTAGAAGCATGTTTCTTCAAGAAATCAAGCAAATCAACTGCTTCAGCAAGTCTTCCAGACGAACTGTAGGAACTCAATATAGATAAAAGATCCTCCTGATCAACGTCAGAGCCATTGACAATGGCTCGCCTCAGCGTTTCTGAACCCTCTTCATAACATCCCCCCTTGACAAGAAGAGAAGATATGGTATCCAAGTCCAGACCACACACATGTTCAAGATCGCTGACCATGCTTTTAATGTCTTCTGCTCTTTTTTTATTTTGAAGAGAACGAAACATTACCTCATAGAGGGTACAATCCGGGGAAACACCATCACGGACCATTTCTCTATACAACACCATTGCCTTGTCGGTGTTATTAGATCTAAGAAAGATATCCAACATCACAGAGTATGCTAGTTGATCAGGTCTAATTCCAGACCGAACCATGCAGTTGAAAGTTTCTTCAGCTTTAGTTTGATTCCCTACCTTTGCATATCCACAGATTAATGCACTGTAAGTTGTCAGAGTGGGTTTAACTTGAGCATCCAACATTTCAGACATCACGCCAGCAGCTTCTTCAATCTTGCTGGCTTTTCCAAGTGAATCAATCAACACAGTGTATGTAACAGCATCAGGATTCCGACCAGCTGATTTCATGTCTCTGTAAATGCGTAATGCAAGATCATGCTGACCACGCTTCCCATACATATGGATGATGGTGTTATAGGTCATCTCGTCCATGTGGAACCCCATCTTGACCATTTCATCACAAACAGAATTCACCTTGGCCTCATTCCCTTCTCTGGCGAAAGCATACAACAAGGAGTTGTAGGTGACGGCATCAGGAGAGAACCCTTTACCCTCCAACTCCTTAAAAAGCTGCTCGGCTTTGGAAGCTTGCCCACATCTGCCGTAGACTGAGATCATGGCATTGTAGGTCCAGAGGTCAGGTTGACAAGAACGTGATTCCATATGGCGGAAAACCTTCACAGCCTCATCCAGGTGGGAATGGCGGGAGCAAGCGGTGATGAGGGTGTTGTAGGTGATGGTGTCGGGGCTAATCCCAGCCCTGGTCACCTCGTCCAAGAGCTGAATGGGGAGGTTGAGGGTGAATGGACCAGCTTTGAGGCGAGCATTGATGAGGGTGTTGAAGCTGACAAGGTCAGGTTGGCAGCCTCGTTGACGCATTGTTTCAAGCAGTTGGTGGACGTTCTGGAAAGCGCCGGAGCGGGCATAGACACCCATCATGGCGTTGTACACTTGGACGGTGTCTCCGGAGGAGGGATCGGCGGTGGCTCTGGTGAACAATTCGAGAGCCAGGGCTTCCTGGTTGGCCTTTCCGAGGACCGCCAAGATGGTGGCCAGCATCCGCGGGTTGGGGGAGTACCAGCGGCGCAAATTGAGCCACTCGTAGATCTCCAGAGCGCGGTGCCAGCTGTGGATGCCGACCCACTTGACGAGGAAGCAGAAGTCAGTTGGGGTCATCTGAACGCGACGGTGGTCCAAGACGTCGGCGACGAATTGGTCGGGACCCAATTCAAGGATGGATTGGGTTAAGGTACGCACCCTCTGCCTCCAGTCTTTGGCTCTCTTGAGCGCCAATTTGTTCATCTTCTTGACCTTGTTCCGTGAAGGATTGGCGGCCGACGGCGAATGTTCATCGGAGAAGAGAGATTGGGAGGAAGGATTGGAAGCGGCAGTGTCCTCTTCTACCTCTAACTCCTCTTCGTAGTCGCTGTCATCGTGAATTTGAAGCGGAGCAGGAGGAGCCGACGTTGGTGGAGGAAGAAAGGGTGTAGAGAGAGGGAGTTGAAGGTGAGGCCATCGGGCGGAAGGGGAAGCTCTAGAGTAGGTGAAACTGCGAGGAGGGAGGCTGTCTGGTTCTGAATCCAGAGAAGCCGGAGGAGGAGGAGAAGAAGAAGGAGTAGAAGAGCAACAACACGGAGGGGCGGTGGCGGCGGAGAAGCGGGCAGACGGTGGAGGAGGAGAGGATGATGGGAATTGAAACGGAAGCAACATTCCCCTGCTCCCCGCCATTCTTTTACGACGAGGATGACGATAAGAACAGTGGGACTGAGAGATGAGAGCGGCGGGAAATTGGGCACTCCATTGTCGAATTCAGTTCACTTTACAGTTTACAGCTTCCCTCCATTGGGAAACTGTGTGAAACGATATCCTCCCTCCTGACTGAGAGCACAGCACACGGCAGCTGCCCTGGCCATTATCATTCCTCCTCGTCGGATATTTTTCTTTGATTGAGGCAGGCTTTCTTACTCCTTCATGCTTCATTTCTTCCCCTTCGTTAGCTAATGGTTCGGCCCAGCCCACTGTAGAAGATATTGATAGATGGACCCGGGAGTCTTCCATAATCCATCATCTGTAGTTGGGCCATTTGTCAAATGCCCGCCACCCAGCTAGTTTGAGCAACAGCCAACAAGGGTCAAGGGATGGCAATATAGTTGTGGTTTCGTGGTTAAATTGCTAATCGCATCGAAACAGTGCAATTTGTAGTTAAAATTTCAAACTGAACAATAAGTCTCTTGTGCGGTGGTGTGGCAGTTAGTGATATTGGCTGTTTTTTCGATTAATGATTTTTTTTATAAGGGTGATATAGGTTATTTTTTGTAATTAGGTACTACTGAAAGGATTCGAACTTGGGACCTCCAGGTTCAAGGCTAGTGGTATTACCACTAGACCAATCCCTTGTTCGTTTTCGATTAATGATTTAATGATTTAATCGAAACAATAACCGAATAAGAACTAACCGCACGGTTTGTGTTTAACCACAAACCGAATAAGAAGTTAGGATGTCTTTCCATTTCCTCCCTTCTTTAAAATACAAAAGCTTCTCGCGAGACACCATCCAACACATAATGCACACCTCTTTTATATCACTCGGTCGTAGCACGCTGACACCTTCAATCCGACACCTTGTTGCGGTGAAAATGATTTACACTATGGTTAATCGCACTTTTATAATTAGAGGTTAACCACTAATCATTTGCGATTAGCATATATGACTCTATTTCGGTTGTGGTTAACCGTAAATTTCGGTTCGGTTAACCATAAGCGTACCAATTGCTAGCTTGATTTCTCCAAACTTAAACCCAACTCACCAGGTGTGTCCATAAAAAAAAAATTGTGCAAAACATTTATCAAATCTTAGAAGTGAAAACTCAATGAAAATGAGCAAGTATCTACGAGTATACGTGTACGGTGCACTTATAAGTTAACGGATATAATCACTAATAATTCTTCTAAATACATCCAAATTCCTATGTTATCAAAATTTTCTCCACAACAATTACCGGAGAATTTTTTTTCTTTCTACAACTGTATTGTCATAAAAGACCAATAACATCTATAAATTATTTATATTATTAAAACTATATTACGGTAAAAAATAATGTCATCCATAAACCGTCAATATAATTGGATTAGGTCGTTTTGCTTTTCAAGTACAAGTAAAGTGAAAATCAAATAGAATTTGGACAAATCATTTTAAAACTCGTCAACCCTGAATTTTATCCAAATTGACCCTAATCGGTCTGAATTGAATACTGAGTTTTATTTACTGGTTGATATGGCATTGCTCACTCACAAAACTAGCTAGAGTTGAAAGAAAATAACTTATCAATAGTTCAATACGAATACAGAGTGAATATGATTCAACACTATATCCCAACACTAGATATATCACCATCCGCACAATACTAAAGTAGTAGATAAGAAATGAGCAAACGCTCACAAGTCACAACTGAAGGTACATACATTACTGATTACACAGCACAACAGTCCAAGCAAGCACGTACATATATACATAATGAAATAATTCCTTCGAACACGTTATAACACATACTAATTAAGATGAAGATTGTTGGCCAGCCGGTGAAAAGAGCCAGCTAGGGCCTCACTCATTATTGCCAAATATATGCGGCCTCCAAACAGCTAGCTAGGCGTTTATCATGCATGATAACAAAGGAACAAGATGGAGAGACTGAAAACCTAGTTCTTTCTTTCTCATTCATCAAATCCGCCTCTTATAGGCTCAGCAAACCATATAAACAGACAAGCATCCATGGACATTGTTTGGCAGCTTGGAAGGGAAACCAAGTCTGACTTGGAGTAAAAGAAAGTACAGCTTAAAGAAGAAAGGAAGAAACGGCAGCGCATCGTAGGGGTGGGCAACGGGAAACGGGTATTTGGGTATACCCGTACCCGTCCCGTTTTTTAAGGGTTACGGGTACCCATATTACCCATAATATTATAAACGGATGGGACTTGGGATTGTACATTCCTAATATGGGTACCCGCGGGTTACCCGCGAATACCCGTTTGGGTAATATGGGTACCCGTTATACCCATTCAATACAAAAACATAAATTTAATTCAGCCCAACCCAATTCAATACCCATTGGCCATTTCGGCCCTTACCCTTTCAATTTCAATTCCATTTGGGCCCTTACCCTTTCACTCTTTCACTGACATGTTTGGTGAATTAGTAGAGAGAGTTGGTATGTGTTTGAAATGAGGCAACGAGTGTCCATTTACAGCTTGGGATCATTGTGTACTTAATTAAGGAACTTGGATCATCCCAATATGGCTCCTAATTATTATTCTTTGTAGGACAGCAGCAGGTGAAGGACACTTGCAGCCGAAGAAGGGAGAATGGCAGCAGCAGCCTGCAGAAGGGAGAACAGCATCAACAGTAGCAGCCTGGAGAAGGCAGAACTGCAGCAGCAGCTTGCAGAAAGTAGCAGCATGCCTCCCATTTGGTTGTGTTGAATGAAACTTATTTTTTGATAATTTTGTGCTTGGAATGATTTATTTCTATGTGTTATGATTGTTCATGAATGTGTAATTTGCAAACCAAGTATTTGTGATTGGGATGTATTTTGTGTCTTGTGATTGTTAAGCAAATACAAGTTAAGTTTAAACTTTTGTTAAAATTTTAGTGGTTTAAACTTTGGGTATTTATGGGTAGTATGGATACCCGTTATCCGTCCCGTACGGGAAATGGGTACCCGTTTCCCATATGGGTTTGGGATATGGGATGGACTTTGATCTCCAAATGGGACTGGGTACCCGTTTAAAACGGGACGGGTATCCCGTCCCGTCCCGTTGCCCACCCCTAGCGCATCGACTGCGTCTCCAGTGAGCAAGAATAAAACGCAGTGGAGCAAGTAGAACTTCTTCTGTGATGGTAAAACGACAGCGCAGCAGTATTGCTTCTGTGACGAGGACAAAACGACGATGGATAGCCAAATGACCGTTGAAATTTGATTTCACTTTGTTACCCCCCCCCCCCCCCCCCCCCCCCCCCCCCCCCCCCGCAAGCTGGTGGGCAGAGGTTTCGCACACCAAGCTTGGAGAGCAGGGAAAGAAATGGTGCAGGGGAGAGTGGTTTGGTGAAGAGATCAGCCAATTGATGTGCTGAGGAGATGTGCAAGAGCTTGAGTGTTCCCAATTGGAGCTTTTCCCTGACAAAGTGGCAGTCGAGCTCGATATGTTTGGTCCTCTCATGGAAGGTGGGATTCTTGACAATGTGAATGGCGCTCTGATTGTCACAATACAGAGATGCTGGTGTTGAGGAAGGAACCTGGAAGTCTTGGAGAAGGTACTGCAACCATTGGATTTCACAAGCAGTAAAGGCTAGAGCTCGATACTCAGCCTCGCAAGAGGATCTTGAGATGGTATGTTGTTTTTTGCTTTTCCATGAGATGAGTGAATATCCCAAATAGATGCAGAACCCAGTTGTGGATCGTCTTGTATCCACACAGGCTGCCCAGTCAGAATTTGTGAATGCTTTAAGATGGAAGGAACCTTGGGATGGGAAGAAAAGACCTGTAGCTGGTGCTGTTTTCAGGTACCTCAATACACAAAGAGCAGCCTTGTAGTGGGTGAGGGAAGGGTTGGACATGTACAGGCTTAGTTGCTGTGTAGCAAAACTAATGTCAGGGCGAGTGGTAGTGAGGTAGATGAGCTTCCCAACTATTGTTCTGTAGTGTTCTGGAAGGAATGTCAACTTCATTGCTTAGATGTAGTTTGTAATCCATAGGAGTGGTGACTGATTTTGAATGAATGATATTGGCTTCTTCCAGAATCTCCAACGTGTACTTTCTTTGGGAAAGGTGTATGCCTGTCTTGCTTCTTGCAACTTCAATGTCCAGAAAGAATCTTAGGTTGCCAAGATCTTTAATGCTGAATTCTGAATGTAGAACTTGCTTTAATGCTTGAATTTCATTCAAATCATTGCCTCCCAAAACCAGGTCATCAACATAGATGAGAATGCATGTGTAGGTAGTATCTGTGACTTTGAAGAAGAGTGAGTGATCTGCTTTGCTTTGCACATAGCCAACCTGTAGGAGTTTGTCAGTGAGCTTGGAGAACCATTGTCTTGATGCATGTTTTAGACCATAGAGAGATTTCCTTAGCCTGCAAACTGGGTTGGGAATGTCTGGAGGAGGTGAGAATCCTTTAGGTAATGTCATGTAGACTTCTTCTTCTAAGTCACCATTTAAGAATGCATTGTCTACATCCAACTGGTGAATGTGCCAATTTCAGAGAGCAGCAATGGCTAGGAAGGTTCTGACAGTAATCATCTTGATTACAGGAGCAAATGTATCCTGGAAATCAATGCCTTCCTGCTGTGTATTTCCTTTTGCAACCAACCTGGCTTTATGTCTTTCCAGGGAACCATCAGATAAAAACTTATCTTTGTAGATCTACTTGTTTCCAATTGGCTTCTTGTTTGGTGGAAGAGAAACAACATCCCAAGTATGATTTTTTATTAAAGCTTGAATTTCATGCTGCATAGCTTGATTCCAGACATCAAGCTTAGAAGCCTCTTTGTAAGATTGTGGTTCTTGACGACTGGAAATGTTTAATAGAAACCTTTTGAATGGATCAGATAAATTGTTGTAAGAAATCATGGAAGATAGAGAGTACCTGTGGTCTTGGATCTGTTGCAGGTTGAGGTGATTGGAGCTGCTAGGGCCTTGTGCAAGGTAACAGTGGTAATTTTTTATGAGATGAGAGGGAGGTTTGATTGTTCTGTCTGATCGTCTGAGATGTGGTTGAGGAGGTGGGTTTGGAGGGGAGGCTATTGGAGAGGAATTGGTTGGGGAAGCAGGTGTAGGATGGTGAGGAGAGGTAGGTGGGGAAGGATTGGTGTCTTGGTCAGAAGGAGAATGTATAGTAGGTGAGGAGGGAGTAGTGTTGGTAGGGATTGAAGTGTTTTCATCAACAAGAGTTGAGTCTAGGGATGGAAGAGGAAATAAAATATCCGATTGAGAGCTTGAGGATTCATCAGGTTCTATTTCTTGAAATGGAAAATGTGACTCATAGAATATAACATCTCAGTGAAGTAAATACTTCATGAGAGGTGAGATCATAGAGCCTGTATCCTTTGATGCTAGGGGTATAGCCTATGAATATTGTTTTCCTAGCTCTAGACTGGAACTTAGTTCTGTGATTGGCTAGAGTTGAGGCATAGCAAAGACAACCAAAGACTCTTAACTCTGTGAGGTCAGGTGGTTGATTGTAGAAAAGATGGTAGGGTGTCTGGTTTAGAAGGATTGCTGTGGGAACTCTATTTATAAGGTGGACAGCATGTTTGACACAATCTGCCCAGAAAGTTGGTGGCAGGTGAGCTTGAAACTGGAGAGCTCGAGCCACAGCAAGAATATGTTGATGTTTTCTCTCAACTTTGCTATTCTGTTGTGGGGTTTCTACACAGGACATTTCATGAGTAATGCCTGTTGAGGTGAAGAAATCAGACATTTGGAATTCTTGGCCTTGGTCAGACCTGATAGTTTTGATTTGTTTTTGGAATTTTCTTTGCATCTGAGTGCAGAAGGCTATCCGTTTTGGTCAGGTTTCAGATTTGAGATGGAGAAGAATGACCCATGTCATTCTGGAGAAGTCATCAACAATTGTTAAAAAATACTTGTAGCTATCATAAGAAGGGATAGAGTTAGGACCCCAAATGTCTACATGAAGTAGTTCAAGAGGGTACTGAGTTACAGACTGGCTTACAGGAAATGAAAGACATTTTTGTTTTGCAAAATGACATACATCACAAGGTTGATCTCTCTGTGTGGTAATGGAGGTACAAAATTGGTTGAGAATGGGGATTTTAGAGTGGGAAACATGTCCTAATCTAAAATGGCATATGCCAAAGGGAGTTCTGGAAGCTGCAGAGATCAACTTAGGGGTGTATGAAGCTTGGAGGTAATAAAGGCCATTGTGAAGACTAGCAGAACCAATCACTCTCTTCTGCTCCAGATCCTGTATAAGACACATGGTAGATTGAAAAGATAAGCTGAGGTTTGATGTGGAGATGAGCCTGCTCACAGAAAGAAGGTTGAAGGAAAAATTGGGAACAAACAGTGCATTTTGAAGGATGATGGCATCATTGCAAACAGCTGTGCCAGAATGTGTGGCTTGGACTTTAGTTCCAGTGAGTAGAGTTATGTAGATGTTTGTCAATGGTTGAGGGACTTGTAAGTAAGAGAGGGAGCAGACAATGTGGTCTGATGCTCCAGTGTCAACTATCCACATTGTCTGTGCAGATGAGAAGACATTAAAGATAGGGGTTGGAAGAATACCTTTGTTGGTGACAAAAGCAGCAGCAGAGAAAGAAGTTGTAGGTTGTTGAGCTTTCATTAGGCTCATAAGCTTCTCATAATCAGCTCTTGAGAGTTTGACCTTGTCTTGTGGAACATTAGTGACAGCAGAATTCACTGTAGGTCTTCCTCTACCAGCAACTGAATTGGGGTTCCGAGGCACAAAATTGGCAGGGTAGCCATTTTTTTGAAAACACTTGTCTTCAGTGTGTCCTCTTCTTTTGCAGTAAGAACAAGTGGTGATTGTGCCAGGTGTGGAAGAAGAAGGTCTGGTCATACCAGGAGGCCATCCATGTTTCTGGAAACATATGTCTTCAGTATGGCCTTCCCTTCTGCAGAATGTGCAGTAAGGTGGTCTGGAATTTGGATTTGGTTTCCTGTTGCCTCCTTGAAATGCCATTGCTGAAGAATCAGTTTGCATAGATGCTATTAACTTTCCAGATTGAGTGTCATAGAGTTGTCTTTCGTGTTGAAGCATCCTTTGGAAGACCCTGTTGATGTTTGGTAGTTCATCTCCAAATAGCACTTGGGCTCTAACTCCAGAGAAATTTTCATTGAGGCCTCTAAGAAATTTGATAACATAACTTGTTTCTTGGTACTGATGAACCCTTAGCATGGCAATACAGGTATTGTGACTGGTTGGAGTACAAGAGCATGACAGTAGAGGTTGATAGTTCTCTAACTCATCTTTGAGAGTAATCATTCTACCATAGTACTCAGTTACAGTCTGGTTACCTTGTTGCAGGGAAGAGAGTGCTTCTTCAAGCTCTGCAATGCGAATAAGATCACCAGATCCATAACGGGTTTGAAGACTTTTCCAAGCTTCTGCTGCTGTCTTGCTGGAGAGGATGGTCTTGCGGATCTCTGAAGAAGTGGCTTGCTGGATCCAGCTAAGTATCATAACGTTGTTGCGTGTCCAAGCTCCATGTCTTGGATGCGTGACTGGTGGTTCAGGTATGGAAGCATTGATGAAGCCCAGCTTGTTTTTGGCTGCAAGGGCATTGAGCATAGCTCTGCTCCAATCATTATAGTTGGTTGCTGTGAGTTTGTCAGCAAAGAGAAGAGATCCAGGTTGCTCAGAACCATGGAGAAAGAAGGGGTCGGAGGCAGGATCAAGAACATTTGGTGGATCTTGTGGTTGAGGGTCTGGCTGTGGCTATGGATCAGCCTAGGGTTTTATCCCAGGCTCTGATACCATAACAAAGGAACAAGATGGAGAGACTGAAAACCTAGTTATTTCTTTCTCATTCATCAAATCCGCCTCTTATAGGCTCAGCAAACCATACAAACAGACAAGCATTCATGGACATTGTTTGGCAGCTTGGAAGGAAAATCAAGTCTGACTTGGAGTAAAAGAAAGTACAGCTTAAAGAAGAAAGGAAGAAACGGCATCGCATCGACTGAGTCTTCAGTGAGCAAGAATAAAACGCAGCGGAGCAAGTAGAACTTCTTTTGTGATGGTAAAACGACAGCGCAGCGGCATTGCTTCTGTGACGAGGACAAAACGACGATGAATAGCCAAATGACCGTTGAAATTTGATTTCACTCTGTTACATGAATAGTATAGTAGTACTTGTGGATGAATGATCGTCAATTGTTAATGAAGGTGGGTAGGCTTCTCCAAGTCCTCGAGGCTGGTAGGGCGGAACCAGGCCTTCTCTTCCAGTTCCATCACAGCTCCACCACCATCAATGGTTGAAGCCCTGCCCGATGAGGCCCCGGCTCCTCCCGAGGCGGCGGCCGGACCGAACACTCCGGTGTGCGGGTGAGGCTCCCAGTAGCAGAACTTGTCCTCCTCTTTTAGCTGCTGCTGCGGCTGCCGGAATATCACCTGATCATCGTGATCCGCCCCCTCCACGTTCTTCTCGTAGGCGGAATGCAACCCCCTAGCAAATCAAAGGCAAGAAAGAAACACCGTCTCAGACAGTCAGGCTGGCTCGCATAGTCGCATTTAATAGAGTGTCGGCTATTCTAACAGTCGGAAAGAGCAGAGAGTAGCAGGCCTGCACCTGGCCCGATCAAGTAATTTCATATTGAGCCCAAGCCCACCATCTAATCCAATTGTATCTGTCTACATTCTAATCTTTCCATGGATGGGGCATGGCGTATCCTTCCTTCGGCCCATAAACCAATCTTACTAATTAATGACTTAATGTGTTAATGGAACATGTGACTAAATTGATCATGAGTTTCATGCTGACTAACCAGTGGACAATGTGGTCAGTACTCAGTAGGGCCTAGGGGAGGCATGGGGTCGGTGGGTGGGTGATTGATAAACACAAGATGGAAAGCCATATTGATAAATGTGGAGGTCAATTAAGTATGCATTCATTTGCCGTAACAGTCATCTTTCCCAAATGACATATCAAATACAATGGAGATGCTTATGAAATCAACGGTAAAATATCTCAGGTATCATTTAAATTTGAAAACTGGGGCAAATATGCCACTTAAACTTGAACAGAATGTCGGGTATCATTAAAGAAAGCCATATTAAAACATCCAAAACTATATTTCAACAAATATTATCTAATGTAAAAATTAGAAAACCTTCTAAACATAGTATTACTATATAATGACTAATGAAATGTTTTTAATAAAATAGATAAATTAGTAAAAATAATAGACGAATATCGAGAAGCAATAATAAATATACTAGAAGATAATAATAAATATATAAAATTATTATTAGAAGATCTATTTAAATCCCTAATACAATTAGAAGCACCACTAAAAATAGTTAAAATAAAACCTAATCGACCATCAATACACCAAGACCAAAGAAGATCTATGTAAACTATAAAAGCTACAACATTTAGTAATAAATCTAGAAAAAAATATGAGTATAGGAAGAGAATTACAATTGGTAAATTTACATAATATAACAGAATTACAAGGAGATTTAATATAGAAAATTATACAAGATCAACATGATGTATGAGAACTAAATATAACATTCTCAAATTATTTATATCGAGAAATAATTCATAGGATATATTTTCTTAAGAGAATAATTCAATTATTAGAACACATAATTCAATTATGGAATTTAAAAAACGGAATATTCCAAGAATATTCTATCAACTTTAACGGAACACACATGACAGTAAACTTAAGTGGTACCGGGTACACATATAATAGAGTTCAGTGGCACGCAATACTCTATTCTTACTTAAATGATATACATCTTCCAATTATCATACTTTAGTGGCACCCAAATTATTTTACCATCACTAAATATGACCGGAGAAAAAGAAGGTCTTTGGCTTAGGCCACTATGTAAAATTCAAAGGGTCATGAGTTGACTCTTAAGCACACGCAGAATTCACGAATATTCAGCTGGGTGGGTTTGGAATATGCCTGAATTAAGTTAGTAGCATTAAACTAACAATATTACGGTTGATTCATTAAATATAATGATAATCTGGTGAGTGGAAAGGGTGACGATAAGTGGATAAGGACAGGGCCATGGGGTGGCTGGGCATGGAACACAAGCTCACAAGTCACAGCACTAGGTACATAGGATCAAAATTGTAATTTTTTACGTATCATGCATAGTTTATGTAATTTGTAGAATAGGTACTAATGGTGTAATTTGGTCTTGATACATAAACAGTTGTCCGGTAAGCTGAGAACACCCTAACAAGCTAAGTTAAGAAGGGTAGGTGGAGAAATGGGTGTTAGATTGGGAATAGGTTAGATAAATACCAGCTGCAGATCCAGCCAAGTTCCTCCCCAACCACAAACCAGCTACTAGAGGGACGATTAATGATGATGATTAATTGATAAATTGACTGTTTAAGTCTCGAGTCTCAACCAACCCCGGCCGCCCCACCTCCCCGCTTCACCATAATTACAACAGGCATAGCCGACGATTGCTCCATCAAAAAATTTATTCTCTAGTCTCTACCCACCCAGCTAATATAATCATTACGCAGCCGTGGTGTATGCACGAGCTTAGTATGTATGTATGTTTGGATTAGACTATGTATGATCTCTAACTACCAAACCGTAAAGAAAAAGGAAATTTTGGGGGAAGAAAGTTTGGGTAGTAGCAGTACTAACCTGCTGCAGGCGGGGGAAGAGGCGGAGATCCAGTGGTTGCGAAAGAGTAGTTGCTTGGTCAAGCTCGCGATCCCTCTGCCGCTGCTGCTCATCCAGTTGGCGGCCATACAGATTGCACAAGTACAAGTACGGATCGGGATGAGCAGATAGTAACTATAACTGGAGAGAGAGAGAGAGAGAGAGAGAGAGAGAGAGAGGATTAGGGAAAAAGAGGAAAGGCAGAGTCAGACAGAAAGATGCTTCATTCTTCTTCACATTTGAGCTGGTTTCTTATAGATGCTTAGAAGATGAGATGAGAGATGTGGACATTTTTGGTGTTGTGGGTATGTAATGTGTGGGATAGGTAAGGTGCTAACAATGGACTTCCTCCACCCAATAGAAGAGAGGCCATAGTCAAAGTGCTATTGTCACGGCCAAACCAGAGTTTTTTTTTTTTTTTTTCTGAGCTAGTTTGGCTTTGTTGTAGTTTCTGTACAAATAGTTTCTAATTCGATCTTTTAGAAAACTACTTTTCAGAAAAAGCTGTTGAGTTTTCGTCCGAAAAACTATTAGAAGTATTTTTTAATTTGGGAGATTGTGTAAAATGACTATAAAGGACTTATAATATAAACAATGAATAAAAATTCCAAACAATAAAATGTAGTCAAAATAATATGATATTATAATTTATTTTATTTTTAAAATGATATAAATGAAAATTATATTTTGTGATGTAAAATTGAAATATGGTAAGGATAATCTTGTATTTTCAAAACAGTTTTATGTAGAAGCTTCAAATCAGAGCTTCTGCTTTTATGTTATAAAAAATGCTTTTCGACTTTTCAAAAACTGAGCTTTTAGTGATATTTAGCCTTACTTCAACATTTTGAAACCAAAATGCACTTAAAAGTTCGGCCAAACATAGGATATATCTATATCTTAAGCCCTAAACTATATAATATTTTCTTTTCTCCATGACTACGCCCTGCTTGACTTTCTGTTTCTGTTAGGAAGTTTCTTGTTATGTGCTTATTTAGGTAACTAGGTATCATGGGTCGAGCTGTCGAGGACCATTAACCATCCACAATGTGGTAGGCTAAAGTGGAAAAGTGGGGAAATTTTCCCACAATGTGGTAGGGAAAAATGGAGAAAGGGGGAAAGAAGGAAAAAGAGGGTGGATACTGCTTTACAAGACCCTGTTTCACGTGGTTCACACGCAAAACAAGGATCAAAGAGCGACTGGACAGAAGCATTTGCAATATTGCTTGGCAGCAGAGATTCCCTAATACTATCACCTACCACCTCCCGAAACTCAAGTTTGATCACAGAGCTATCCTCACGTACAGCTCTGGTCCAGAGGATAAGAGTAAACTTGAGAGACGTTTCCAGTTCATTGCTGCGTGGATAGGGCATGATGATTTCCTTCCTCTTGCCACTGAAGCTTGGAAGAAAAGCACCAACTTTCTTCCATCCCTGAAACTGCTCACAAAGGAGCTCAAGAAGTGGAATAAGAACACATTTGGAAATATTTTCAAAAGGAAAAAGAAGCTACAGCGGAAATTAGAGAGCCTTGTATGGCAGAATGAGTGCAACCCCAACTCACAGTCACTCAAAGATGAACATGACACAAGAGAAGAGTTGGAGGATACGCTTTGGCAAGAAGAGCTTCTGTGGTTTCAAAAGTCCAGAGTGAATTGGCTCATTTATGGCGACAAAAACACACGAGTCTTTCATACAAGTACACTTACTAGAAGGAAATGGAACAAGATCAAGGGGTTGAAGGATAACCTGAATCAGTGGAACACGGATCCTGTTCAACTTCAGATGATGGCAAGGGAGTTTTACATCCACCTTTTCACCAAGGAGCAATTAGGAGAAAGACCTGATGTAGTTGCTGACTTCCCATTGGCAAACGAAACAACCCTCAGAAACTTCTGCAGACTTCCCCTCTTAGTGGAAGTGAAAGATATTGTTTCAAGAATGAAGGGAATGAAGGCACCAGGGAAGGACAGGTACAATGCCCTCTTTTACCAGCGTTGTTGGGACCTTGTGGGAGCTGATCTCCACTCCTTCGTAGCTTCCTGCTTTGGCAACCCGGATCTTATCAGAAGCATCAATGGCACACTTCTAACCTTGATCCCCAAAGCTAACTCTCCTCAATCTATGAGCCAATTCCGCCCCATCAGTCTCTGTAATGTCAATTACAAGATTGTGGCTAAGTGTCTCGCTGATGGGCTGAAACCACTGATGAACTCACTCATCAAGCCCAACCAAGCAAGCTTTGTTCCAAACAGAAACATCAACGACAATATTCTGATCCTCCAAGAAACTGTCCACTCGATGTCAAAGAAGTCAGGCAAGAAGGGTGACATGCTGCTCAAAATTGACTTTGCCAAGGCCTATGATCGTCTTGACTGGAACTTTCAGGAGGACACTCTGCACACAGTGGGACTCCCTGCTGAGGGAGTAAGACTGATCATGACCTGTGTCACCACTACTGAACTCCAAGTTCTCTGGAATGGAGGTGAAACGGAGGCTTTCCAACCTGGCAGAGGACTTAGACAAGGATGTCCCCTCTCCCCTTACCTTTTTACTTTATGCATTGAACAATTAGGACATTGCATCACTAGGGAGGTGAATGATGGTAGATGGAAACCTGTTAGGTTGTTTAAGGGAGGACCTGATTTGTCTTACCTCTTCTTTGCCGATGACCTGGTTGTCTTTGCTTAGGCAAACCCGAGGCAAGCTGATGTTGTCATGAGTTGAATTGAGAAGTTCTGTTTGGCCTTAGGAGAGTTGATTAGCAAGGATAAATCCAGAGTCTTTTTCTCCAAGAACATTAGGAATCTGGATAAGACATGCATTTGTTATCATCTTGGCATCCAAAACACCTCTGACTTAGTGAAGTATTTGGGAGTCCCTGTTCTCCATGGTAGGATCACTAGAGATACTTATAAGTATATTTTGGAAAAAATGGACAACAAATTGAATGTCTGGAAAGCAAGAACTCTATCCCTGGCTGGTAGAGTTACTCTGGCTACTACTATTCTAAACTCAATCCGTAACTATGCTATGCAATCTTCTGTTTTACCCATGTATGTATGTGATGAGATCGATCGGAAGATACGTGGTTTTGTGTGGGGGGCTAAAGATGAAAAACGCAAAGTCCATTTGATTGATTGGGAAACCATTTGTAAACCTAAAAGTCACGGGGTCTTGGACTCAAGAGTGCCCGTTGCCTGAATTTTGCTTATCTTGTTAAACTTGCTTGGCAGATTCTTAAGAATGAAAAGACTCTGTGGGTGCAGGTTTTTCAAAACAAGTACTTCAGGCAGAAGGAGGGTGTCATCACATCCATGAAAAAGAGCAATCATTCTCCGTTGTGGAGAGGAATCATCAAGGCGATGCCCATTATGGATTCTGCTACATGTACCAGTATTAGGGATGGGAATTCCACTGCTTTCTAGAGGCAACCATGGATCGAGGATGGACTTGTGCTTGAGGACTTCCTACTCTCAAGCATTGAGGAAGAGGAAAGGGATGCCCGTGTCTCAAAACTTGTTACTTCTGCTGGGGAATGGAACTGGGTTTACCTGCATGGTAAACTCCCTGAAGAGATCCTCTCTTTGATTGCAGGAACTGACATGGCAAAGCAGGATCTTGGAGAGGACACAATCATCTGGGGGCTAAAAACTGATGGAAGGTTCAGGTTCAAGTCCGCTTACAGACTGGCAGCGGAGGAGCTTGAAGAGGTGCAAGGAGGCTAATGGAAGAAGCTATGGAAATGGAAAGGCCCGAACATATTCAAGCATTTCCTCTGGCTCACCTACCACGAGAAGGTTCTGACGAACAAAGAGCGAGCTAAAAGAAAAATGACAGAGGACATCAAATGCAATTTTCCACGTTGTGAGGGATGTGATGAGAATACAGAACACACCCTAAGAAGATGTAAAAAAACAGAGGGTGTTTGGAGGTTCTTCAGACACTCGATCTTAGTCAAGAATTACACATTACCCTTTAGAGAATGGCTTTAACAGAATCGGGAGGATGATGAGAAGGGTGCCGATTTCGGAATCATTCTTTGGCACATCTGGAAACAAAGGAATGAAGAGGCTATGGACGGCAAGATGTACTATGAGCAGGGTCTTATTAACAGAATCTTTGCTTTTTTGAGTGTTCTGCAGAGACCTCAAATTAACGACACGAAGCTAAAGCTAGGGGCCTGCAAAACTAAGGAAAACCTCAAAATTGCGTGGTCTCCCTCTAAGGAAGGTTTGGTGACCATCAACACGGATGGTTCAGTGATTACGGAGAAGAACATGGCAGCTGGAGGGGGTATGGTTCATGACCATATTGGAAGGTGCCATGGAGCTTTCTCCGCCAATTTCGGAAGCTGCTCTGTCACCATAGCTGAATTGAAAGCAGTCGAGCTTCGATTTTCAATGGCGTGGAGCTTGGGGTTCAGAAAAGTGATCCTCACCCTTGACTCCACCACTACAATTAGCATCATCAATCACAACAATGATGCTCCACACAGACATGGACTTATTACCAAGGAGATCAATCGCCTTCTGACTTTGAGCTGGGAGGTTCATATCACGCATAACTATAGAAAAAGCAACTTCGCAACTGACTTTTTAGCTAAGAAAGGCCATGGCCTTCATTTTGGAGCCCATTCGGTTGATGTTTTTGATTTGGGGCTTAGCCACTGGCTGTTTTTTGATGTAATGGGTATCGTCCATGAACGTTTAATTAATATGAATTAAGACGCCATTGGCATCTATCTTCCTACCAAAAAAAGGAAAAAGAGGGTGGATAAACACACCCATAAAAACAAAAGGTGGATGGATGTGGGGGTAGTGGTTTTTTGGTGGGAAAGAGGGCTTTGACGGACCGGGACGAAAATCCATTTTTTTTATTTTGTTTTTTGCAATTGGGGGGAAGTGTTTGTTTGAGTTTGTTTTATTGTAATTTTGTATTGATGACGTCATATTTAACTGTGATGAAAAAGATTATGTCCAAATTAAAAATTTATATATTGAAATGTTCGTATTAATTAGTTATCACTACCTATGTAAAAAAATTATCATTATATTAAAATAAAGTAACGAAATCAACTATAGATTGATTTTAAAAAAAATGCTCAACTAACTACCTTCTTTTCTCACCCCCACATTATGACCAAACCCTTTGGTCCCCCCCCCCTTTTACCTCCTACATTGGGAATGGTCTTATTATAAACTAATCATAAGAAAAGTTCGCAATCAACTTCAGCTTGAGCCACAAAACCGTGGATGTGAACTGAAGTGAACACAGTACAAGTCGAGAAGGCTGATAGAGTGATGAGCCACTGAAATATGGCCGTTAAGGCCCAACATAGTTTTTTGTACAACCCAAAAAATGCGAGAACTTTTATGTGTGAACCAAAAGCCTCATCTGAGCATGTCCATACAAATACTAGGGTTAAGCAATAGGAGGAGCAGGCAGTTGTTGGGCTAAAACTCACCCACTCAACTTTTTAATGGGTGATAAAAATGACTCACACTCATCCATTTGTTATGGGTGGGTTGGATGGTGACAGTAGATGATGGGTGAGTTTGACCATTTTGTTGGATTGAAACTTTTTTATAATAATAAAATATTTATGTACCATAAAAGTTTACAAACTCGGTTTCTAGAATTGGGTTACAAGTTGGATAAAAAAGTGGATAATGGTTCAACCGTTAATTGTTACACAATCGTTGATTGAACATCCATGCGTTATAACATAGAGACACATATAATAAACTAATTCAGGACTGAATTTATAACTAACCATAATTAATTTCCAATTCATAACTAACAAATCATTCAAACAATATCACAAAAAAAAAAAAGAATTTTTCTATCAAAATTCAAGTTAGTAATCAGGGTGATAATTCGTAGTGGACCACATAAAGCATACAAGAGGATAGGAAACAAAGAAAAGGAAGCATAAATAAAATTTGTAATTGATGTTGGATGTTATTAGTGTAAGGAAGTGGTTAAGTACCATACATGAGACTGTATAAGATCCAGCATAACCTTCTCCCAACAACTCGAGTTATTGGGACCAACTGGTTTATGACATGGTATCAAAGCAAAACTCGATCCTTGATTAGTGGTTTGAGCTTTCGTCTGTCTGCATCCTCTGTCTCGTCAACATCAACAATGAAGGGTTGTCTGTGCGACGTTCCCGTTCTGGGGCGAACTCTTCTCCATCCCTAGTCCAGGCTCATCGCAACTTGTAGCTTCCTTTTCAGATGTCGCCTCACTCAACAGCCACGCTAGTTCGCGATCACCGCTGCTCTTGCCCCACGCCGCATCCTTCATTGGCCCCATCTTCAGTCGTTCGCGGTCTCTCTCTCTCTCTCTCTCTCTCTCTCTTCAGGTCGTCGTTGCATCTCGTAAAAGCTATAGATTTCAGTCGGATCCGCATTCGTCATGTTGGCGGCGTCCGCCTTTGATGTTCTATATTTGGCGTGGACCACATAAAAAAATGGCCACGCTCAAGAGGCCTAAATCTGTTGTCGATCTCGTCGCTAACCCAACGACCTCGCCCTTCTCCATAGCCCTAGTCCGAGATTCTTGGTTAGCGACTACGCTGGTTCTCCGGCGTATTCTTCAATCCAGCAGTTGGTGATAGTCTGTTTGGTCAACGACGACGAGGTTATCTTGTCATCGTCACAATCGGGAGAGAGATTCAGCCCCATCATCGTCGATTTCCAACTCCTATTCCGTCAGTCCTTTTCGTCCTCTTCACCAATCACCGATCACATCGTTGGGAAGCTTGGGAAACTGGTCAGTTAGAGTTTGTTCTGCCAAAGGAATTATATGGTCATGGATTTCAATTAAGTTTGGACTTGGGACATCAACGTCAATTTCATCAAGTCAATGAGCTTTCCGTAGCATGTCGTAGGGGTGAACAAAAGGACCCGAAACCCAACCGACCTGGGGATTATGTATGGATAAAAACTTCCAGAATCTCTAGGGTTTTCCAACTCTTCCATCTTTATCATTCGCCACCGATTCATTCCCCCATCCTCGCGCCATCTTTATCGATCATTTACTGATTTAGTGCCTTCGATCCCTCAAGCTCTACTAGAATTCACCTGATTCGTATTCTCCCCCAGGCGATCTCGTGAACAAAGTGGGTTGTCACCAACCACATATTCGCATCCTTCTTGCTGATGGTTCTTGGATTTTCCTTCGCATTCATCTTTATAGATCTTTCCCTAATTAACTAACTCTCATCCCCATATCCAGTAAAAAATCACTAAGGTGATACCATCCATGCAACTCATTGAATTCTTTATATGCTTTCTGGGCTTTGTTTTTGCTTTAAGAGATCCAGAGGCAAGGCTCTGTTTTTGCTACTTTCCTTTTTGGGTTCTTCTCTTTTTGCTTTTGGAGCTCAAGAGGCAGGAGGTTTGGTTCTTCGTTCTTTGGATTTCAAGCCTATTATATTTACCACTTGGTTTGTAATTTTAGGATTCTCGTGTGATGGAGGCTTGAGTCTCCATTAGCTTCCCTGTCGTTGGCCACTTTTTCAAAGCTTCATCTCCTTTCAGGTTGGAATCTCGCTGCGAACATCATATCTGCCACCGCTCTGCCCAAATTGCCGCTTATCTTTCTTGAAAATGTGTTAATTCTAATGAGTTATTGCGGTTCGGATTGCAGCAGGTTGATTACCTAAACAACCCGACCCAATGGATATCAAACTGACAGGGTCTCGAATTTTGCGAGTGGGTGTGGGTTTAGATTTATTGAAACCGACATATACGGATTGGGTGATCAAGGTAGTCCAAAACCAACCCACCCGACCCATATTCACCCTTAGCATGCTGCTCCAATTTGCTTCACAGAAGTTTTGTGTCTCGCAGCATCCTTACACCGCCGATGTCGTTGTCATCGTCAACCGCAGAGCATCGACCTGCCATGCCTCCTTTTTGTGAAAGAGCAACGGCGAAGTCCTTCTCACCGTTGCGTCTTCCTTCTTCGGAGTGTCGTTCCCGCCGTCAATGACCATCGTGCTATCATCGTCTTCACAAAGATAGTTCCAGTCATCACCGGCAGTACAATCTCTGCCGCCAGAGAAGAGTGTTGCGGGTGATATGGTGGGGCACTAGTGAGATATGGCGTAACCAAGAGGCAGAAGGGTTCCTCTTTTGGGCTGCCATCAATTACATGGGCCTTGTCAAATCACTTTTCAACGGCACTTCAAGTGTAGCCGAATTGGCCCTTATGGGCTCCCACATCTATTTTGGTAAGAGTTTTTTGATGGGTCTTCAATTAGATTTTGGACGAGCTTTCATTTTGCAGGCTTTCACCATAAAATATAGTCAAGTATCGATTGAGGCATTCATGTTCCATAAAATGGTCATCCCCTAGCGTTCAAAAGGTAGTACGAGAAGAGAAGTCATCGTCCATTCATCGTCCAATTGGCATTCGCGATCCAAGAAATGGTCGTCTCCTCTTCCGGTTCATTATTGGGCACATATCAACCATTCATCACTTTTCAATATGGGCATTCACTATGTTCATGCTCCAGCTTGAGGGGGAGAATAGAAGGCCAACATATGTCGATCGACTAACTCAGTCAATAGGTCGACTGAGATGTACCAAGTGTGTTAAAGTTCAAGAGAAGCAGTCAATCGTCTCCATCATCAGGTTGTTCAGAGAGAGTCAGTCGTCTCCAATCAACCTCGTTCGAGATGTTATTCATCTCGAGTTTTGTGGTTCAATCCATCATGCGTGTTCGGGTTCAAGAGATGCCGTCAATCGTCTTCATCATCAGGTTGTTCAGAGAGAGTCAGTTGTCTCCAATCAACCTCGTCTGAGATGTTATTAATCTCTAGTTTTGTGGTTCAAGCCATCATGCTTGTTCTTCACATTTACTTCTTCAAACTCGACATTCTTGTCATTCATGTCTTCGCTTGAGGGGGATTGTTGCAGTTACTTAAACTATGTTAGTATTGGGCCTTGTCCGAGTTGTAGTAGATACGGATACTTGGTCGTGACTCTTCTCGTTAGGGTTTTAACCCTAGTCTATCTCTATATAAGGCTTTGCTACGAACCTGTCGTAAGCAAGCTGTCACAATGTAGTCGTTCAATAAAACGTCAGCCATGAGCTCTTCCAAACTCACTATGGATTAGTCTCGATCAATCAATCGATCAAGGATACCACGTAAAATCTCTTGTCTCGTGTTCTTTCGTTCTTCCGCATCATCAAATTCTTCAATTAGCTTATGTTAAGACATTTTAAATTTTAAATTTTTGGTGGTTAAAACTAGTGAACCACTGAACCAATCAAACCAGGGTGGTTCATATGGCTCTATGTCAAACAGCTAAAAAAGTTCGGTCCATCCTTAACTGTCAAGCAAATAAATCGAAACGACATTTTAACTGTTTTGGTGGTTCTACTAATTGAGCAACTGATATGCTTTGGTTCTTATAAGTTATAACAATGCTAACAATATACTAATTAAATATCAAATTCAGCTACAAAAATCAAGAGAATCGATAACTATTGTGTGTAGTTTATTGCATAATCTAACATTAGTAATCTCATTTATGAACAGAAAATATTTTATGTATAGTTATCATATATTCTAAAGAATTGACGTGAGATAGCTCATTTCGTGGCTAAAAAAACTCTCACTTTGTTTCATTTTGAATGCTTGCGGTTCGAGTTTCGTTCTTGGCTCTGATCGACGTCAGTATCTGTGTAACTGGTTGTTCCTGGTTTCAACCATTGCCCCCATCCCTAACAAATACAACTTAGTGTCCCATAGGATGGTTTGGATGATGAATGTACTATGAAGGGATTTGGATCCAAATCTCTCATTTAATCCAAGACAATATGTATGAGAGATTTAATCAAATGCCTTTGTTTATGGATATGAGTTTTCAATAACAAAACATTTTTGCCCGTGCATATCTTTTTCCTGACGAGACTCCTTCACCGCAGCATACCTCTTCCTCTTTGCACTTAACGGGCTGCTTTTTACACCGTTTTGAGATTCTAGGCTGGGTGGAATTGCAATTTAGGTGTTAGCTTTTTAGAGAAGAACTCAAAGAAAGGACTGAAGGAAACTAATTTGATTAAGATACTGAAGCTATTCTGCAGTCATTATGACCGCTTTTTGAAAGGGAAAGACAAGCAAAATACAATTGAAAGAAAGAAAAACATATGGATGATCGGTGAAAGAGAGAACCGAACAAACTTCCCACTCCTATCTACCCAGAATCATTCTCTATAGATGAGGAAACTGAAGATTGTTCGAAATACCCGGACCCTTGACAACCTAATAGATCTGCTATTCAAGCTGCAACCGTTGCCCTTCTTCATGTGGAGAAAGCTTTAAATAGGCAATTGTCTTCAGGACCGTTGAAGGAGATCCGTTGATGTAGCCACACTTTTGAGAAGCACAAGGTTGTAGGCGATCTTGGTGCTTGGAGAAAGTGGTTCTTCTTTTGCTTTTGGGTGTTGAGGATGAAGATGAAGGATAAGGCTGATAGAAACGAAGCCAGTCCAGGGTTTTAGAGATCAGCATCATCGATTAGTTGACAGCGGCGTCGTATGGTCATCTTGGCAGCGGCGTCGTTTGAGACTTTAGTGGCAGCAGCGTACTCCAGCGGCAGTAGCGTCGTTTTGGCTGAGGTTTCATTTCAAAATTTCCCCCTTCAGCCGTTCCTCCATTTTCGAGAGATTCTGAAAAGAAACACAAAGCAACCAACATACCCAAGCACAACTAATAGCAAAATGTTCAAGGTAAACAACATAAGTTCAGCAATCCCCCATGGATTGCAAAATATTCGAAGTATCCAAGTTAAGTCCAGCAATCACCCACGGATTGCAAAATATTCAAACATCAAAATAAGTCTAGCAATCACATACAGATTGCAAACTAAGCTGGAAAGACACAAAACATTCTAAAAGATAATGCAATCGTTAACAAAAGTTCCCCCTGGGAATATGCAGCAAAAGTTCCCCCTGAGATCTGCCATCCACTACTGAGGAGGACCAGGAACTGGGGAGCTAGGATCAGCTTCAAGTTCTTCATCAGATGACTCAGATGAGGAGTCATTTAGGGCAAAGAAAAGGCCAAGGTTGGCAGGAGCGCGTAATGGAGTCCGAGTAGGAGATGGAGGAACTTGAAATCCCAAGCAGGCCAGTACATTTCTAGCACTAAGATGAATGGTAGGGGATTGAGATCGAAAACCTGAGATGTTGATGTTTATATTTGCGAGAAGAGTGGTGACAATCCCTCCAAAAGGCAGATACCCATCTCCTGGCGATATCATAGCTCCGAATAAAAGTGAGCAATAATCAAGTTTCTGACCAGTTGTAGCATGAGAAAGGATCCAGATATCAAGAGGAAGAACTTGATCTCTAGAGAATCCACGAGGCAGTAACACACGAGTCAGGAAATAGTGAAAAATTCTGAGTTTAGGACATAAGCGAGAAGCAGGGAAGACTTCGAAGGTGGAGTCAGCTGGCTGTCCAGAGAACTTGGAGCCTTCAACATGAAGATTGAAATCAAACTTCCACATCTCAGATGTATGAGAGAGAGCAAGTCCAGTGGAAGGATACCCTAAAATAATGCTTAGAGCACGCATAGGGATAGACAGCAGATGTCCATAAACAAGCGTAGAGAACCTTTTAGTCCGAATGCCAAGACATCGAAGATTGCTATAGAAGTGTTGAGGGTTTGAAGAGTGACGAAGAAGGAAGGGTGAGTAAGCCAGAGATGAATTCAGATGTATTTATAGGAAACGCACATTGAAGAACACTTAAGCACGCATGGTAGCCAAAAACTGGGAATAAGCAAACAGTAAATGCAGGCATGCACACAGCTTCGTAACTCAAATAAGCATGCTCATGAAATGCAGAAAAGAGACCAATCTTATTGCAGCAGTAAATAAAGAAAATGAAAAGGAAGGGAAATAAATGCATATCCAATGAGTCCGCTATGGAGAAAGAGTGCAGATCTGATTAAAGGATTTGAGGCCAATTTCAGTACGTAGAGCAACAAACCTGTCAGTGGGCAGAGGTTTAGTAAATAGATCAGTAAGTTGATTTTCAGTAGGAACAAATTGAAGTTCAATTTTTCCAAGTTGTACTAAGTCTCGAATAAAATGATGCTTAATTTCAATATGCTTAGTACGAGAGTGTTGAACAGGATTTTTTGACATACATATTGTACTTGTATTATCACAGCAAATGGGAATTTTAGAAAATTCAAGACCATAATCATACAGTTGTGACTTCATCCACATTAATTGCGTACAACAACTTCCAGCAGTCATGTATTCTGCTTCAGCTGTTGATAGAGCAACATCACCTTGTTTTTTACTAAACCAAGATTAGGGGTGGGCAACGGGAAACGGGTATTTGGGTATACCCGTACCCGTCCCGTTTTTTAAGGGTTATGGGTACCCATATTACCCGTAATATTTTAAACGAATGGGACTTGGGATTGTATAGTCCTAATATGGGTACCTGCGGGTTACCCGCGAATACCCATTTGGGTAATATGGGTACCCGTTGTACCAATTCAAATTACAAAGACATATAATTCATCTTCTCTTGGAGCAAGTAATATGGGCGTCAGACTAACTGTAGAACCTGTAACAGTAAAAAAACCCTTACATTCAGCATCCACCAAAAACAACCACCAACAAAAGGGGTAAGCTTAAAGTAAATATTACCTGGCACAACAAGGCGACTGTAGTTCCGGACATGTCCTAGTCCTCTTGGAGCAAGTAAAACCTGTTAACACGGTTGCAAATCAGACTTGTCTTTACTTTTCCAACACAAAAGGATATGAATTCATTCAGAACTGGGGAGCAGCACCAGCCGCAATCACATGATTCAATTACAATTCGGTAACTTCTAACCCCATTCCCTCACAGGGCATATTCAGTTATTCGGTAACTTCTAACCCCATTCCCTCACAGACGCAACACGCATGTTCAACGGCTGAGTTCTGTGTAGCTTTTTTTACTATTTCCCCTTCCTTGATTCTTTTTCATCTTCATCATCATCCCTTCTTTGGGTTGTAGGAATTGTTGTAAGTTGCTACTTTTGCAACCATTTTGTGTTTTGAAATGAATGCTTTGAATGTAATTGACTAATTGTCTTTAGGTAAAATGTGATTTAAACTTTGGGTATTTATGGGTAGTATGGGTACTCGTTATCCATCCCGTACGGGTAATGGGTACCCGTTTCCCATATGGGTTTGGGATATGGGATGGACTTTGGTGTTCAAATGGGACTGGGTACCCGTTTAAAACGGGACGGATATCCCGTCCCGTTGCCCACCCCTAACTAAGATACAAGGCATGGACCAAGAAAATGACTAGAACCTGATGTGCTTTTTCTATCCGTAATGCTGCCAGCAAAATCAGAATCACTGAATCCAACTAGGTCAAAGTAATCACACTGAGGATACCACAACCCAAGATCAGAAGTTCCTTTTAGATATTTAAAGATTCGTTTTACAGCAGTTAGATGAGACTCCTTAGGACAAGATTGAAATCGAGCACACAAACCCACACTAAATTGAATATCAGGTCTACTAGCAGTCAAGTATAAGAGAGAGCCAATCATACCACGATATTTCTTTTCACAGACTGGAATTCCATTTTCATCTTTATCTAGTTTGGAATTTGCAGCCATAGGAGTGTTACAAGGATTGATGTGTTGAAGATCAAATTTTTTGAGCATAGAGTCGATATATTTAGACTGAGAGATGAAAATTCCAGAACTGATTTGTTTAATTTGAAGACCTAGGAAATAGGAAAGTTCTCCCATCATGCTCATTTCAAAAACACTTTTCATGGAGTTGCAAAATTCGGAGCACATGTTTGGATTAGTAGATCAAAACACTATAGCATCTACATAGATTTGTACGATCAGAATGTCAGAGTTTTTTCTTTTGATGAACAGTGTTTTATCAACTCCTCCTTGTTCAAATTTTTCTTCTAAGAGAAATTCAGTTAGTCGATCAAACCACGCTCGAGGAGTTGTTTTAGACCATATAAGGCTTTAGATAGTTTGTATACATGGTTTGGATATTTAGGATCAATGAAACCAGGAGGCTGAGCAACATATAATTCTTCTTTGATAACTCCGTTTAAAAATGCACTTTTGACATCCATTTGGAAAAGAGGTATTTTCATAAAGCAAGCAAAGGCACACAACATTCTTATGGATTCAATCCTAGCAACGGGAGCAAAGGTTTCATCAAAGTCAATTCCTTCTTCTTGATTATAGCCTTGAGCTACTAATCGAGCTTTGTTTTTTTATTATTATTCCTAATTCATTAGATTTGTTACGAAAAATCCATTTTGTTCCTATCACAGATTTTCCTAACGGCAGAGGAACTAATTCCCAAACTTTTAATCTAACAAATTGAATCATCTCTTCTTGCATAGCGTTTGTCCATTCTTCATCATTGAGTGCTTCTTTGTAATTTTTAGGTTCAAGTTGAGACACAAAAGCATATTGTCCAGGAATATACTTACCTCGAGTTTTGATTTTGTCATCTATATTGCCGAGGATGAGTGACTCAGGATGCCTTTTTCTGATGTGAGCAGGGGCAGATTTGGAGTGAGAATGCAGATCCTCATCTTGAACTGTTTCTGTAACTTCAGTGGTTGGTTCATGAGTGGAAGCTGTGACATTTTCTATATCTGCAGACTTAGAGGAGTGGTTAAATTCAAGTGAAGGAAACACAGAATTGCAAGGATCAATTGAAGTAGATGACATTGACTCATCAAATTTGACAAAGACAGATTCTTCGACACGTCTGGAAATCTTGTTGAACACACGAAATGCTTGTCCTTTCATGGAATATCCCACAAAAATGCACGGATCTGATTTAGAATCAAATTTACCCCTATGATCTTTTGTATTTAAAGCATAACATTTACATCCGAAGGGATGAAAGTAGTTAAGATTTGGAGACTTATTTTTTAAAATCTCATATGGTGTTTTATTCAAGCATTTACGAATGAGAACTCGATTTATAGTATAACATGCAATGTTAACAGCTTCAGCCCATAGATTTTTTGGAGAATTATACTCAAGGAGCATAGTACGGGCAGTTTCAATAATGGTATGATTTTTTCTTTCTACAACACCATTCTGTTGTGGTGTTCTAGGAGCAGAGAAAGAGTGAGTAATTCCTTTTTCATTGCATAGAATTTCAAAGTTTTCATTAATGAATTCTCCTCCATTGTCACTTCTGATGGATTTTAAACATGCAGAGGAATCATTCAATACTTGAGCAACAAAGGTTTTAAATTTTTCGAAAGTTTCATCTTTTGAAGCTAAAAAGAACACCCAAGAAAATCTGGAGAAATCATCAACAAGCACAAACACATAGGATTTTCCTCCTAGACTTGTAATATTGCAAGGACCGAACATATCCATATGAATAAGTTCATAGCAAGCAGATGTAGTTATATCCTTTTTTCGTTTAAAGTTTTTCTTAGCATGTTTTCCAGCAATACATGCATCACAAAAGAAGTTTTGTTTTTCTTTCAAGGTAGGAATGCCTCTGGCAGACTTAGATTTGGACAATTTAGATAAGCATATATGTCCTAATTTTCTATGCCACAGAGATTCCAGATCCTGAGATAAAGCTTGGAAACAAGTTTCATTGAAGGAATCAAGATTATTTAAATCAATAATATAGATATTTTCTTTTTGAGTTCCAAAGAAAAGTAGTTTTCCATCGCTAATTCTTTCTATTTTACACAAAGATGCTTCAAAAATAACTCTATTTCCAGACTTGCTGAGCTGACTAATAGAAAGAAGATTGTGTTTAAGTCCATTTACTAGTAGTACATTATCAATGGTGGGGAAAGGAGATATACCAATGATACCCTTTCCAAATACTCTACCATTTCTATCATCTCCAAAAGTAACCTTACCTCCCTTTTTATAAACAAGAGAAGAGAAGAGATTTTCATTGCCTGTCATGTGGTGGGAGCAACCACTGTCAAGATACCAGATGTTTTCAGAAGCTCCCAAGTTCTGCAAGAATCATAGATTAGAACATTTAGGTACCCAATAGCTTTTGGGTACTTGATTTTTATTTGATTTTCGTTTTTTAAAGCAATAGTATTCTTAATGTCCTATTTTCTTACAAAAATGACACTTGTATATCACAAGATGTTTCTTAATGGTCGTGTTTTTATAAGTAAACATCTGATGGTGGGAATTGAATGGCACATGTTTTTCAAAATATTTATTATGTGAAGCAATTTTGGACTTCAGAAGTTCATTCTCATCAATGAGGGAAATAATTATGTTATCAAGTGAAGATTTCAGCTTATTCTGACACACAATAGAGTAATTTAGCTTATCTATTTCCTTGTTTTTCTGTTGCAGTTCAGTCATTATCAGGCAGTACTTGCTTTTTAACAGACAATATTCTTTTTGTAAATTTAATAAAGCATGCAAAAAATCGGGATTTGTTCTAGGTTCATCCTCTAAATCAGAGTCAGAATCAGAGATTACCTGATGACCGAAGCTGGTTTCTTCGCAATCTGCACCGGACTGGTTTGAAGTAAAGGCCATATAGGCAAGATCACCATTGGAGTCAGAGTAATCTGAACTCAGATCACTCCAAGAAGCAGCCAAAGCCTTTTCTCTAGATTTAAATGGACATTTTGATCTTATGTGTCCTGTTTTCCCACATTTATAGCAAATGGTAGACTCATTCACAAGTTTATCTTCTTTACTTTCCTGGTTAAACTTTTCAAGGAAGGACAGATTTTTAGATGAGCTAGAAGATCTTTCAGTAGGAACTTTGCTTGCTGTATCTCTTTTATTAGGAAAACTGTTAGAAGATCCATAATTGGCTTTCTTTAATTTGTGATCTCTTTTGAACTTCATCATTTTGTGAAAACGTTTTCCGAGGAGAGCAAGTTCATTTTCAAATTCTTCATCTAATTCATCATCAGAATCAAAGTAATATTCTTGAGCTTTCGATTTAAAAGCGATGTTCTTGCGCCTTCTATTATCATCCTTATTCATTTGATTGATAACTTCTTCATGACTTAAAAGAGATCCAATAAGTTTTTCTACAGACAGAGTTGTTAAGTCACGAGCTTCTTCTATTGCAGTTCGTTTAGGCATCCATTCACGAGGTAGAGACCTAAGTATTTTCCTAACAAGTTCTTTACTTGTGAACTGTCTTCCTAATCCTTTCATCCTATTAATGAGATCATTGAATCGTTTATACATTTCAGAGATTGGTTCTCGAGAAAACATTTCAAAACTTCCATATTCGTTTAATAGGACATCAATTCGAGTTTCCCTTACCTCTGACGTACCTTCATGAGTGACTTGCAGGGCTTCCCAAATTTCTTTAGCTGATTCGCACCTAGCTACCTGGCTTCGTTCGTCAGGACTGAGTGTCGAGAAGAGGATGTGCATTGTTCTTGAATCGAGTTGAGCAGAAGTCTTTTGTTCATCATTCCAGCTTGCTTCATCGTCTTCGTTCATTTCAATGGGCCCTTCTCGCACGATTTTCCAGAGATCACTGTCAACACCACGAAGATACAGTCGCATCCTTTTCTTCCAGACTGTATAGTCTGACCCATCAAACCAAGGCGGATTTGTATTCCCTGAATACCCAGCGGAAGATGTAGAACCAGCCATGACACCTTGAGGACGTTAATCCAGTTACCAAGGAACCGGCTCGGATACCAATTGAGATTATAGGCTGGGTGGAATTGCAATTTAGGTGTTGGCTTTTTAGAGAAGAACTCAAAGAAAGGACCGAAGGAAACTAATTTGATTAAGATACTGAAGCTATTCTGCAGTCATTATGACCGCTTTTTGAAAGGGAAAGACAAGCAAAATACAATTGAAAGAAAGAAAAACAGATGGATGATCGGTGAAAGAGAGAACCGAACAAACTTCCCACTCCTATCTACCCAGAATCATTCTCTATAGATGAGGAGACTGAAGATTGTTCGAAATAACCAGACCCTTGACAACCTAATAGATCTGCTATTCAAGCTGCAACCATTGCCCTTCTTCATGTGGAGAAAGCTTTAAATAGGCAATTGTCTTCAGGACCGTTGAAGGAGATCCGTTGATGTAGCCACACTTTTGAGAAGCACAAGGTTGTAGGCGATCTTGATGCTTGGAGAAAGTGGTTCTTCTTTTGCTTTTGGGTGTTGAGGATGAAGATGAAGGATAAGGCTGATAGAAACGAAGCCAGTCGAGGGTTTTAGAGATCAGCATCATCGATTAGTTGACAGCGGCGTCGTATGGTCGTCTTGGCAGCGGCGTCGTTTGAGACTTTAGTGGCAGCAGCGTACTCCAGCGGCAGCAGCGTCGTTTTGGCTGAGGCAGCGTCGTTTTGGCTGAGGTTTCATTTCACACGTTTTGCCCTGCTCCTGCATCTCTTACGACGTCGACAAACACGAGCTAGCTATTGAATGGGGGCGGTGGTGGTGCTACTGTGCTGTGTGAAATCTGGCCGGCATGATGGCTGTCTGGGGCCGCGGCTGGAAATCACGAAGGCGGATATGATATTTGAGACAATGGCGGGAGGAGGAAGGGAAGCATCGACCCGGAGAATTTGTTCTGAAGGGTCGTCAATCTGGAGCAAATCCAGCTGGGACCGCAGCAGAGTCGGAGGCATGAAGTGAGTCCCCTGTTTAGCTCTCTCGGCGAGGCGGTGGGCGAGCAAGTCGACGCTGGCATCCAGCAGCACGAAATGGCAGCAACAGGTGGACGGCGGCGGGTGGGGGTCGGCGGATCGGAGGATGTCTCTGTAAGACTTCTGTAGGGAAGAGCAACCGAGGATTACTGTGTTGCCGGAGATGAGGTGGTGGCAGAGTTTGTCCCTCAGGAGATTGAGCCATGGGATTCTGTCTTCGTGGGTCAGGGGAATGCCCTGCCTCATCTTCTCTGTAACGTTACACGATTCAATTGCTTATATTGTTATGCAGAAATTTTAGGTAGGCAGCGAATTGGAGCAAATGGTTTGATTTTTACCTTTGTTGGAATGAGGGTGGAAGTCATCGGCGTCAAGAAAGCTGCAGTTTATTTCGGTCGCCAGCAGTTCTCCAATGGTGCTGAACGCATCAAAACAAAATTGAACAGAAATCTTAATCGAACTTTTCTTTACGATCTGACAGAGAAAAAAGTGGCATTAAGCACCAAACAAGGATGGGCGTGGGCAAAGGCGGCACCTTTTCCCTGCACCAGAGACGCCCATGAGCACGATGGCGGTACCTGCTGCACAACCCAACAAAGCCAAGAATTAGTTGCAGCACCAATTCAACATGGGAATACGATTCATTGGACAGAATGAATCATGCGGCAAAAACAACAAACGCCCATCAAAGGCAAGGTAATTAAGAACGGAATAACAGAAGAAAAACAAACAGGAAGACAGAGATGGACGAAGAGAAATCTATTGAATTGGGGATCAGGAGTGAACCTGTGAGGAGGGAAGGCATCGTGAGGATATGGGCAGTCGATGGATGATGGGGGTTCAGGATTCACCGATGCGCCACAGGGCAAAGGATGCGGATTAGAGTTTGGGAAATAAAATAAATCCCAATCGAAAGAAACACCAAGATGCAGAGAGAGAGAGCGAGAGAAACAGAGACGAAGTCGGTAATGCAGGTGGGAACAAAATTTGGTGGAGGGAAGGGAGAAGAAGGAGAAGGAGAAGAGGAGAATTGGGGATGGAGATCTTGTTTACGTGCCTGTTTTTGTCCGGGTCTTGGTAGAGAAAGAGAGAAACTGAGAAAGTGATGAATGAAGGAGATAAATAAAAAAAAAATGGATAAGGCGAATAAGGGTTGGTAGAAACTACGATGATCTGAGTCGACCCTGATGTGGCGGACCTAGCTGACGACAAATACCGTTTCCGGCCGGCCAGTAAGTCAACACTAGAGCCCTGCCTTGAGTTACAGGCTTATAGCCGTCCGCCATGGCGCAACCGACTGGGAGACGAGTAAGCAACAAAAGGGAGGATCTAGCTAGGTCGTGGAAGAACAACAGACAACAACCTGGAGGGGGAAGCTATAATTTAGAAATTGGTACTCATTTGTTTCGTTCTGGCTTTTCTTTCTACTTAGGTGGCGACAGGTGTACCTTCCCTTCGTCACCCGCAAATTCCTCCCCGGAATCGCCCCTTTCCCTGTTCTTACCTTCCCTTTCCGGCCACCGAGTCCAAACTGGTTCTTCTGCATTTCGTTGCAGATACTTTCTCCGTAAAAAGAATGTTATCTGAATATAAATAACAATCCTTGTTGGGGGTGGGGAGATCTAAAACTACTATATGGAGGTTCTCCTCTAGTAACCAGAAATAGTATAAGCCCGCTCGCTATCACTTTGCGTGTGAGCGAGAATATGATATTTTAAAAATTAATAGTTTGAATTTGGATCCAAAAATAAAGGGCTTGTTATCTATAATTTCATGTAGTCGACGCAACGATGACCTTTAATAAGCGAGAAGGGTCGTCGAGCAAATGATTTCTATGTTAAATCTTCTCTCGTGACACTATTGATTAGTTTATATTCTTTTTACTTTGTTTTTCTTTTCTTTTCAACTTCATTCTCAACCAAAAAGAAAAAGAGACATACTCGCTCAAGACCCAAAACTCGGCAACATCATTTTCAACTCTCTTTGATCGGATTGAACCGAGTTTGTAACAAATTCACAATCGTGACCAGACAATTAAAAAAGCGTATAAAACTCACACCCGCCCGAGAAATTAACAAACACTAAAGTAAATAAAAATCGCTCACGATCCAAAACTCGACAACATCAATTTCAACTCTCTATGATCAGGTTGAACCGAGTATTTAACAAATTCACAACCGACTCGACCCACCAATTACACATGCGAATAAAACTCACTCATTCCTGAAAGCTTGTAAACATCGGATTCAAGTCATTTTTATCAAGTTAAATTAGGTTGGATACCCATAGGTTTGGGTTCTCAACCAAAAGGAAAAGGATAAATAAATAAAGCGGATAAAACTCGTTCCCCACCAAAAACTCTACACACCAAGTTCAACTCGCCTTCATTAGTTCGAACCGAGTTCTTAACAATTCACAGTCGGCTCAACATGCCAAGTCTAAAAGCATATAAAATTTGTTCTCGATACAAACCTCGTCAACACCAAGTCTTGCTTCAATTGTCCTTCTCAACAAAAAGGAAAAATAAAATAACATTAAACAGACAAATCTCGCTCTCGGTCCAAAATTTGTCAATGCCGTGTTCACCTCGCTTTGACCGGGTCGAATCGAGATTTTAACAAATTCACAATTGACCCAAGATGCGAACTACAAAAGCGGATAAAACTCGCTCTCGATACAAAACTCGTCAATACCAGATTTGGATTTATTGTCATTCTCAACGAAAAAATACACATTTAAAATTACTAAAGACGGGTTCAATTCGCTTTGACCTAGTCCAATTAGGTTGGATACCCATGAGTTTGAGTTCAATAATCATGCTTAACTAAAAGAAAAAGAGAAATAAGAAAACACTAAAGAATATAAAACTCGGTCCGATACAAAACTCGGCAACATAGAGCATGTTGGTATGGATTTTCGGTAGCGGTCTTGTGACACGGTGGATGGGTACAATCTAGGATTCCACCGAAAGTATTTCGAGATATGGTATGGATCTTCGGTAGTGGTCGTACCAAATGGTGGAAGAGAACAACTTATGATTCCGCCGATAGTATTTCGAGATGGGTTGCGAATTGGTGGGTCAAGGGGATGATTTGGGCGAAAGATCATAGATGAAAATATAATAGATAATTGTTTCAATAGGGAACACATTGAACAATAGATGAAACCTTATGGACAATAGATAGACTCAACGGACAATAATTGAACACAAAGGTTGTAGAATGGGATAGTGAGGTAAAAGATGGAAGTTGAAACTTGCCCACTTACAAGGAGGAGTGTGAGAGGTACTAATAAATAGTAACACCAAACTTTTGCTTTTATAAATTAAAACAACTAAATAAATTAATAATAGTAATAACTTCCCTGCCTCCTGCGCAGAGCACGGAGGGGTATGTAAGTAAAACAACATCAGTCAAGTGGATGGACGGAAAGGGCTTTAATTGGGCCCGTAATTCCATATGAATGTGGGTTGGATGGAATTTGTCCAGTTCCAACAAGTTATGTTTGCTTCCTTCTCTTTTGGCTTTGATACTTTTTTTCAGGTGCGATGTGCTTATAAAATAAAAAAATATAGCTTGATTGAATTGTGAAAGCCGATGAGAAGCCCCATATTTTTAATCATTGGTATTGTTATTTAGTATCAAGGAGATCGGTCTAAACCAGTAGTGCAAGTTATCAAAACATGAATATGTATATAATTTCTTGTTTTTTTACCATTATATTCTCAACGTAGTCTACAACATGTGAAATCTAATGTTTCTAGCAATTACATTAGCATTTATATACTACGTCCCATTATTACAACAATTTTTTGTGACTTCTCTTTTGTAGTTGTATGCCTCGAAGAAATATTTCACATGGAGAGTCATCCAAATAACTAAATAATGTTTCACTTCAACCGTTAAAAAGTGAATGTAAGAACAATACTTTTATTAGCATAGTTATATATCATGCAATTTAATGTGTGTTCATGACAAGTGTTATCCAGGGGAAAAGAGAGTTGTTTTTATACTACCAAAAGGTATGGTCGTTTCTAATCAATCTCTATCCGACGTGCAAAAAAACTTTTCTAATAGTATGAATGTTGATGAATTATAAATTGATTATAATATCTTTACGATGCTTGATCTTACAAAAATAGTATTATTCATTTTACATTTCAGAAATCGATGCACATATGTTAGACCTGAAGAAAATTAATCAACCATTGACAAAATTAGCAATAAAAAAATATGCTCTTTGTATAAGACAAAAGCGTATACATGGAAAAATGGTCATACTCATATACCAATAGTAGTTATATTAATGTTGATCATACTAATATTGTCCCATATCTTTCGCACAAAATAAACCAGACCCCCACTTCTCTCCAAATTCATACATCTACCCAATAATTTATAGACACTCTTCGCCAGCACCCTCTCCGTTTGATTTTCCAGGCTTCTCCGCACGGGTAGGAAGGATTACTTGGTTTTTTTTCCACATCTCATATATTTCGGTGTTGCAAACTTCTCTATCTTAGCTGGAATCATCAAAAATAGGTTAGGGTGTTGTCTAGGGCTGCAAATGAGTCGAGCTGAGCCGAGTTTTACCCCAGGTTGAGCTTGACTCGTTAACAAATGAGCTGAGCTTGAGCCATTTATTAACGAGCCGAGTTCGAGTTAGGCTTGTTTACTGACTCGAACGAAACTACACCACAAATTAATCCCGACTAGAGCCCGAGTTTTTAAACTCTAGACGGGTGCAGTATAGAGCAAGTATTTAAATTGTCAACGGGGGAGGTACATGTACCCTCCCTCAATCGCTTAGGTTGTTATCTAGCAAGCAACTTTAGGGTTTAGGTTGTTATCTAGCAAGCAACTTTAGGGTTTAGGTTTATTGGAACTACAAACTAACCAAGCAAAGAAAAGTAAATAAAGGAAAACTCTAACTAAGAGAGCTTCACTCATGAGTTGCTCCCCCCTAACTAGCTAGCAGGACTCGTTGGATTGAATGGAGTCGTGTGGTGTAGGTAGTTTTGAACCGCGGGGGTGAGCAACTAGTGATCAATTTGTCACGGAATCAAATCACTAGCGATCGATTTCTCATGGGATCGATCCACTCACCAGATCAAGGGGAACCACTAGAAGGACCAATTAGTGATCCATTTGTCTAGGGATGGATTCACTGGAGGTCGATTTGTGACGGGATTGATCTTCTCACTCAGTCACTAGTGGTTGCCTAGGTCTTTCCCTCAAACCGGAGTTTGAGCGGCTTAATCACAACCAACCTAGATGCAACTGGTAACCGCGAACCGCAGAGGGATGCATATGTGGTCGGAGACCACAATCTCAATTGCTAAACCGAGATAAGCATGAAAGGCCGTGTCACTCGACCCTCTCGGTTTAGACAATAGGTAGTTGACTTACTCCCTCACTCAACTCTAAGGTCCGACGGCTTAATCGCGATTAACCGACTTGCTTAACTCAATATTGAGGGTTTCCCTAACTTAACCTAGTTTAAGTGGCTTAGAAAGAGGAAGGAAAACCAACTCGATTGAGTCTCCCTTGGAAGGGGGATTTTCCTCTCTAAACTAGGCTAAGGTGGCTAATTAGATTGCTAGCACCAACATGCACAAACCTAAGGGTGCAAAGCACAATTATGCACAACCCTTAGATTCCTAAGCACGAGCATGCACAATCACCATGAAAACACCTCTAATACTCAAATTGATGCAAACCCACACTTAATCATTCAATCTAAACAAGTAATTACAAAGTATTAGTTAGGGATCTACAACACCCAAGAAAAGAGTGAGTTTCTAGAGAGAGAGAGAGAGGGATTACAAATTTGAGCTCAATATCTTCTTCTTCTTCTAGGCTTGAATCGTCCACCCTAAGCCTCCAATGATGCTCCAAGATCACTCTAGCACTCTCTCTCTCACACTAGAACTCCCCTTTGGTGTTTTAGGTTGAAACCCTAGAGAAAGAAAGTTTTTCTTCTCCAAAACCCAGCTCCCTTTCTCTCTCCCCATTGCTGTCTTCATATTTGCCCGAAAGCGATCACTTCATGGACACGTTGGCCATTTCACGGTCGTGATGTGAACTCAGCGTCGTCCAAAACGCACCGCTTGACTGTCCTGGGTTCACGGTCTTAGAGACCGTGAACTACCTTGTCTTCAGTAATTTCAGGAACCCCGCTGGACGCCTCGGTGTTCACGGTTTGTGGTCGAAGTTCACGGTCTTAAGAGACCGTGAACTGCCTCTTTCGGCCGTGAACTGCAGCTGTTTCCTGGGACGCCTTCACTTCACTGTTACGACTTCGAACTTTTCTTTGGTTTTTGCGCTTTTCGACCTCCAAATATCCCAAAACTCTTCCTCGACCCTTCCACACGTGCTAGGACCTGAAATGTATTAAAGCACAACCTAGCGTGAAATATGTCGAGGAACGATGAAATACTAAGCTGAACGAATAAGAAATGAGGGGTAAAATGTATACATTTGATTACTTAAAAAAAAAAGAAGTATACATTTGAGGCCGAATCATTTACTAAATTCTTAGATTGTATTTGATACATTCATTTTGTATGTCGTGTATGGTACATGTGATTGATGTAACGATTAAAAAAAATAATCAAATGTTCAACATTAATTAATCTTATATTATAATTTGAAGGCTTCATATTGTATAGTTAATAAATTTTAACTAGTTCAAATCATGTTATTTCATAGTATTGAAACAATTTTGTACATA